GTGTATTGGGATCTGAAATACTGCGATACGCCATCTGGTGAGAGCCTTGTTGTGGTGGCCATGTTTTCATTCCGTGTTTCTCTAACATATACAAAAGAAAGAGATAAAAAACCAAGATGGTTGTCACAAAGAAGGCTCAGGGGTGAGTCAGTTTCGCGTGATTTCTGATCCCAATATTAGTTAAGCATTTGTGGGTAAGCGCAGATACTAGTACGCCTAATCGTGGTGTCACAATCAGGCCCATCGTTACAGCTCAAGTTGTTCCTCCTGTCTCTAGTCTTCTTGGGCCGTACCCTGAGCGCTCACATAGTTGGCTCATTACCATCATATTGGGTGTTTTCGGGAGTTGCTGTGATTGGCTGATCCATTAGCATGTTTATCCTGATTGGATAATTTTTTACTTTCAGCAACTCCCGAAAACATACTATGTGTAAATTTAAGCAGGAAATTCTATACATTTGTATTGTCTATGTATTACGGAAGCTTCTATGCGCCACCACTAATCCGGCTGAAAAAACTTGTACAAGTTCTTGCACATGTTCATTGATGAACTTGTACATTTTCTTGTACATGTTCGAGTAATGTTCTTGTATCAGAACTTGTACAAGATCCTTGACAAGAAGATATGTACAAGAACATGTACATTTTCTTGTACAAGTATATTTTCTTGTCCAGGATGTTGTACAAGTTCTGATACAAGAACAAGTCTCAATTCCGGATGCTGAACTTGTTCAAGAACATTACTTGAACATGTACAAGTACATTAATGAACATGTACAAAAACTTGTACAAGTTTTTTCAGCCGGGAAGTACTCACTCGCTTTACGAGGCACGATTGAATCGACCCACTCGTGTGTGCCTCGTAGTGTGCTTCGTAGCGTCCTCCGAATCTTACGGAAGCTTTGACGATGCTTATTTGTTTTGATTGCAAACCCAGTATAATTATTTTATTGTTATTACCGTGTTTTAATAAATGAAATGACATCAAATGTAACAAAACAATTTAATAAAACTTAATTTGTAAGCATAAATTGATTTTTATAGGTACTGGTTAACATTATCGATAGAATATTATTTATAGTGATTAAATAATAATAAGTGCGAAAATGTTTACGTATATCCATTTGTTTAAGTCTAAAAATTTCAATTTGTTTCTACATAAATTACAAGTTAAAAATCAGATAATAATTGCGTTTGTCAACTTTATCTTGAAACCTTTTTATCAGTAACATATTTCTCTATTTTTTAAAATTTTTTCTTTGTGAATAATCTATATCAGTAGCAGATACATTTGTGTACATGGTGTTCCAAAAGTATGAAAACTTGCAAATATATCGAAAAGTACGCATTTTCGTGATACTTCTTTTTCACTGTCGGGTCCCGGAACCAATTTTTTGGCTTCAAAAATGTAGATCTTTTTTCGGGAACAACTTTTGTTTTGAATATTTTTCACGAAAATGCGTACTTTTCGAGATATTTGCAAGTTTCCATACTTTTGGAACACCCTGTATAATATGACAGAATAAATATAAAATTATCAGAAATAATTTTTTTATTTTGTTTTTAACAAAACGATCATACTTTAACCTTAAAATAATAAAACGAAAGCACATTTAAAATCCAATTGTTTAATAAAATCTATCAAGAATATGAATATTGTTTAATTAAGTATATCAGATAATTTTACATTTGATGTCATTTCATTTATTAAAACACGGTAATAACAATAAAAAAATTATACTGGGTTTGCAATCAATACAAATAAGCATCGTCAAAGCTTCCGAAAGACACGGATACGGAGCACGCTACGAAGCACCCTACGAGGCACGCGTTGGTTCGCAAGCGCAGTGACGTCATCAAAGTCACGCAACGCAAAGGATCATATTGGAGAAAGGCCTTAACGCGAGTGAGTGCTTAGTGGTGGCGCATAGAAGCTTCCGTAATGTATAGACAGTGAAACAGATCTATGGGCGGTATTCATAGTTCCGACTTAAGCAAGGACTTAAGAGTTGCTTGATCAAGACGGTCTTATTCGAATGAGTCGAGCTTAAGACCATATATATTCATAGTCAAAAATAAGCAATTGCTTGGTAAAGGAAATGCAGCTTAAGAATTTCTTGACCAAGCAAATGCTTAAGATGATCTTATTGAACGATCGGATTTTTCCGTCAATATTCTTTTGAATCCACCAATAAGAAATGGTTTTGAAAATTCGCCTCAATGCGCCAAGGAATATTTATACTTGCGTTGTATTCAATTTGAGTTTTTCGTTTCAGCGTTTTTAATGTTATTTATAAAATTGTTTTGTTTAATCATTTGAAAAAAGTAAATTTGTAAAATATTTTTCTTATTAAATGTTTGTAATAAAAAACAGTAATAAAACAAAATTCAAAAATATAAACCTGTGAATATAATTAATGTTGTTTAAAAGTAAAAATTTTTAATAATCAACGAATGAAATATATTTAAAATTTGATAAATAATGATACATAATAGTGAAATATTCAAAATAATGATCAATATATTAACATTAATATTTTTAAAATTAGGCGTACAATTTGTAGAACACAATTTATTTTTTCTTTTTCAAATTAAAAAGACTGGTAATTTTTTTTATATCTTATCTTATATACTCTCGTTTTTAAAAAAGTGCTGTACGCTAAAAAATTTTAATTGTTTATAAACATAAAATAACTACTTTCATACATAAATTCTTTTTTCTTGTAGAAATAATAAATGTATCCAAATATAAATCTGCTACTCTCACTCCCTTAAATTATATATTAAAATAAAAATATAATGGAATATAAAATTTGTAAACAATAAATAATTAAATTATTATAAATAATACTAAATTTTAATACTAATTAATGAAACTTTTTGTAGTAATAAAATGTCTAAAAAGCATTACACCAATACGGATAAAGAAAACTTTTCCTGCAAACTATCAAAATTTTTGCCCATGTTATTGAAAATCGCAAAAGCGATTGTTCCTTGAAAGCTAAGGAGGCTGCGTGGAGTGAAAACGATAACGTCTCTGAAACTCTCACTCATCTATTTCAAAAGAATTTTCCGCATCTCGAATGTATCGTTTTGCACGTCTTATATTGTTTGGACCATCTTCATTATCAATATCATCCTCAATGTCTCTTAAATAATGCATTATATCCATTGTTAACACTTTTTTCACTATAAATACACTAATAAGTTATTGCTTAAGTCAACTAAAACGTTGACTTTAAATCATAGGGCGGTATTCATAGTCGATACTCATTTCTTAAGCAGCGACTTAAGCTGACACCTAGATTCATAGTCGTGCATTGTGGATTGACTTAAGTCGCAACTTAAGCATTTGCTTAAAGAAGTAAATGCTTTGATTTTGAGATGCATAGTCCCATCTTAAGAATGCCAAGTATTCATAGTCAAATAGGATTTTCTTATTTGACATTACCGGTGAACTTATTTGAACGAATTGAGGTTATGATTTAAAGTCAACGTTTTAGTTGACTTAAGCAATAACTTATTAGTGTATTTATAGTGAAAAAAGTGTTAACAATGGATATAATGCATTATTTAAGAGACATTGAGGATGATATTGATAATGAAGATGGTCCAAACAATATAAGACGTGCAAAACGATACATTCGAGATGCGGAAAATTCTTTTGAAATAGATGAGTGAGAGTTTCAGAGACGTTATCGTTTTCACTCCACGCAGCCTCCTTAGCTTTCAAGGAACAATCGCTTTTGCGATTTTCAATAACATGGGCAAAAATTTTGATAGTTTGCAGGAAAAGTTTTCTTTATCCGTATTGGTGTAATGCTTTTTAGACATTTTATTACTACAAAAAGTTTCATTAATTAGTATTAAAATTTAGTATTATTTATAATAATTTAATTATTTATTGTTTACAAATTTTATATTCCATTATATTTTTATTTTAATATATAATTTAAGGGAGTGAGAGTAGCAGATTTATATTTGGATACATTTATTATTTCTACAAGAAAAAAGAATTTATGTATGAAAGTAGTTATTTTATGTTTATAAACAATTAAAATTTTTTAGCGTACAGCACTTTTTTAAAAACGAGAGTATATAAGATAAGATATAAAAAAAATTACCAGTCTTTTTAATTTGAAAAAGAAAAAATAAATTGTGTTCTACAAATTGTACGCCTAATTTTAAAAATATTAATGTTAATATATTGATCATTATTTTGAATATTTCACTATTATGTATCATTATTTATCAAATTTTAAATATATTTCATTCGTTGATTATTAAAAATTTTTACTTTTAAACAACATTAATTATATTCACAGGTTTATATTTTTGAATTTTGTTTTATTACTGTTTTTTATTACAAACATTTAATAAGAAAAATATTTTACAAATTTACTTTTTTCAAATGATTAAACAAAACAATTTTATAAATAACATTAAAAACGCTGAAACGAAAAACTCAAATTGAATACAACGCAAGTATAAATATTCCTTGGCGCATTGAGGCGAATTTTCAAAACCATTTCTTATTGGTGGATTCAAAAGAATATTGACGGAAAAATCCGATCGTTCAATAAGATCATCTTAAGCATTTGCTTGGTCAAGAAATTCTTAAGCTGCATTTCCTTTACCAAGCAATTGCTTATTTTTGACTATGAATATATATGGTCTTAAGCTCGACTCATTCGAATAAGACCGTCTTGATCAAGCAACTCTTAAGTCCTTGCTTAAGTCGGAACTATGAATACCGCCCATAACCTCAATTCGTTCAAATAAGTTCACCGGTAATGTCAAATAAGAAAATCCTATTTGACTATGAATACTTGGCATTCTTAAGATGGGACTATGCATCTCAAAATCAAAGCATTTACTTCTTTAAGCAAATGCTTAAGTTGCGACTTAAGTCAATCCACAATGCACGACTATGAATCTAGGTGTCAGCTTAAGTCGCTGCTTAAGAAATGAGTATCGACTATGAATACCGCCCTATATATACTAGTTTATATACTTCAGTAGTCTTTACATCTGTTTTGTTAATTGTAATATAATAATAAAAAAATTATAACACATTTAGAACAAACATTTTTCTGTGTCTTTATGGTATATTTTCAACTTACTGGAAAGTGTTTTTATGATACATACTTGTGAAAGATTATCAAAGAAATAGTGTAAATATACTAATTTTAAAATGAGTTCCATACCAACAGGTAAGAAGGGAAAAAATTTACAAAATAAAAACGTAAAATTATGATAATGGTCTTTTTTAATTGGTTTACGACATTTTTTCTCTTTTATATGACTAGAAAAATTTGTTGTCTTTTTGATAAGCATGTATAAGGGAAAAAAAGTTGTGTCTTTTTTACACGTGTAATATTAGTAGATAGTTAAAAAAAAGTAAAATTAGATAAAAATGTAGCAGATTGTTATACAATCATATTTATACACTGTTTAGTATTAAAATGACTATCCAATCGTCAATGAAATTATACATACTCTCAAGAGAAAAAATTATAATGCGTTTACAACGCGATAATCACTACATACAAGTGCAAATTTAAACGATCGTGAATATTTCTAACCTAAAATTTTTTTCTACAATTAAATCCATTAAGATTACAAAATTTCTTACAAAAATTAGTTCTAATGCCAATTTTAATTTCGATCTCCAAAATTTCATTGCATTCGAAATTTATCATTTTTGCATTTCTTATTTTGTATGTATCAAGCATAGCATATGTTTTCCTTTATTAAGGAATGTGCAATTTAAGTCATTTGACCTTATTTACAAATAAAAAAGTATGGAGTTGTAAAACAATTAATACAACAATCGAAAAATATTTTTGTTACTAACAATAAGAATCAAACAAATTAAAAAATTTTAAAGTAATAAAATTAACAACTTTTACATATTTAATGTATTACAATGAAACTTAACTGAAATAATCGTTATAATACATACACTGAAAAAAATGTTGTCGAGAAATTCAACTACCATTGGGTAGTTGACTAGAAAGTAGTTAAAATAACTACTTTTTTAGTTAATCTAATCATGTTCATGTAGTTAATGTAACTATTTTTAATAAGTTAATAAGTAATAGTTGATTTTACGTAAATATGTAGTTAAAGTACAACTACAGGTCGGTAGTAAAATTAACTTTCTTAAGGTAGTAAAAACAAGTGGAATTGTAGTCGCCTCAAAATTTGAAAAGTAGTAAATCCAACTACTATTCACCAGTTATATGAAATGTAATAAAAGGAATTATTTTCTTTAATTAATATAACTGCTTTTTGAGTAGTAAATTTTTTATTAATTTCTATGATTTTATAGGCTTCAATAAAATTCTCGTTGTAGAATTAACAAGTCGTCTGTAATTAAAACTACTACTTTAAGTAGTAGATTTTTACTATTTTAATTAATTCGATAAACTTAAAGAAGATTTTTTATGTAGAATTTACAAATCGTTTCCAGTTAAAACTACTACTTTAAGTAGTAGATTTTAGTACTCAAACTGGTACAATAGGCTTTAAGAACATTTTTGTTGTAGAATTAACAAATCCATTGTGATTAAAACTACTACTTTAAGTAGTAATTTTTTACTATTTTAATTAATTCAATAAGCTTGATAAACGTTTTTGATGTAAAATTTAGAAATCGTTTCCAATTAAAACTACTACTTTCAGTAGTATCTTTTACTACTTAAAGTAGTAGTTTCAATTACAAAATATTTATTAAATGTACCAAAAAAATGGTCTTAAAGCCTATTGAACCACTTTAAGTAGTAAAATCTACTACTTACATCTTGAGTTGTTTTAACATTTTTAAATTGAGTTAGTACAATCACAATATGTCATTCTACCAATTACATTTTTAATTGGTTTAACTATTTTTATATAGTTAATAGAACCGTTTAAATTCAGTTGAGGACCTATTGTACTACTCAGAGTACACTGTTAAAAATATTTGTAGTTTTAATATACATAAAGTACTTAAATTTAAGAAACTGGTATATTAGAGTGTAATTCATATACAAAGTATATTAAATTTTGTCACTGAAAAAAATTCAAATAAAAAAATTGCATTTTACTCAATTTATACATGTTCTTGTGTACAAAATAAGGTTTTATTAATAAAGCAAAGTAATTTCTTTCATGTAAATACAAGTTTAAATCAATTTACATTGTAAAAATGCATATAATTTGACATTTATAGTACTTAACCTAAATGTCACATATAAGTATTAAAATTCTTGTATTTAGAATGTTTTTTTTTGAAAAATTTTCCCCTTATAAAACATTATTTGGACATAAACAACACAATAGTTAAAGAATTACGCACTGTTGTTTCAATTTCAAATAAATTTTCAATATCAAGGAAATAATGACCGTTTGGTGAAATAGGCATCTACAGCCGCCATGTTGTCACTTTAAATTTAATATACATGTATCTTAGATTTCAATACCTGTAGTGCATATTCGCTTCATACGCATGTATATTAAATCTAATACAGATTTTTCTAACAGTGTATAGTTAAAAAGTAGTAAAACTAGTTTTTTTTTCAGTGTATACCTAAATTACATTTAAAACTTGTGCAGAAATTTTAGAACTTTCAAAAAGACTAGAAATTATCGATAACAATAAGCAATCTCTGAAAATAAAAATTTTCTTTTAGCCCCTGTGCATTTTAAAATTATACAGTTAAACTTTTTTAAATCTGTTTATAAACAAACTGTTTAATCAAGTTTTATTTGATTGCTTTCTATCAATTAAATAAAATGAAACCTTGATTATTCGAACCCTCTGTTATCCGAACTGTGAATCATTTTATCCAAACTTTTTACTGATTTTCAAAGTGTAAAATGTATTAAAAATTTTTTTTTTTATCATTCATAATTTTAAAAAAGATATAAAGAGTAAAATAATGATGTTTAAAAATACTTTAAAAATTTTATTTATTATTGGTTAATATCCGTATTTAACCAATTTTATTAATATTAGTTTGGCAGCAAAATCTTTTACCCCCTCCCTTAGCGACTATCTGAATTGATCTGTAGTACTCAAATTTGGTACATGTATGTATTTTCGCGTGTAGATTACAGGAAAAATATAGCGAACCTGATTGGAATTGATTATTATCATAGTGCTGTCAAGGAAAAGCCATGAACTTTTTCGAAAAAAATACTCCATAGGAAGTTAATTTAATTCAGTTTTCTTGTACCTTGTACCCTAATCTATCATCCCCCAAATTATAGACAAAAATCTGTTCTCATTTTAGAGTGAAATGTATACTACCAAAACACTTTTTCCCATACTAGGTCACGTGGGAGGTTCCCATATACCCTTAAATAACTTCGTTTGAGCCTTTATTTGGAAGAGTTTGTGGAATGAGGATTTCAACATCTTTTTTAATTTTATTTGATATCATATAAATTTCTTGTCATATTCGTGTATGATAACTTTATTCTTAAAAAATGTTAAACTTCTGTATTGATTGATATTGTGTTTTAATTAGTTAGTGGAATAATACTTTAGGTTGTGCATCACTGAGGACGATTCATTAAATTTTTTTTTTTACTTAAACTAGTAATAATTTCTTAAAGTCAACATAAAAATTTAATAACAGAGGTATTAATACAAATATTTATCACAATAATTAATTAATAATCCTACGTATATCGAAAATATTCAATAATATTCAGGACGGTAATCGAATGTGACGTGAAACGAAATTCATTTTTTATATTTAAGAAATCTCTAAGATATATTTTATATAAAGGTCTACTTTAATACCATAGCTTTTAGAAACAATATAGGTATATAAAGTACCGATTTTCATGTTTTAAATAGTTGCTTTTCAAGGTGCACGAATGAAAAAAGTTACACAACAGGTTAGAAAACCGATTTTTACAAGATAAAATAAGAAAAAAAGCACATTAAGAGTGTTGAAGGGTATCTGAAATTTTTTGGCATTTCATTATGTGTAGGAAAGTAATATAATGACAGCTTTATTACATCCTGCAGCCGTTAGGTATCAGAAGCATGCAGGAAGCACAATATCGCAACTGTCATTATATTAGCGGACAAAATTTTTTTTTTGGGGATATATATTTGACACTTAAGGCGTTACGTCATTTTACAATTTTAAATCAGACAATTTTTTTCTATGTTGCTTTCTTCTTTAATAAGTTGAGTAACATCGACCAGTGTTATACAATAATATTAAGAATAAGAAAGACGCTATTTTTTTGGCCTTAACTATATAAAATCTTTATTGAGTATTGTAGAGTAAAATAAAGAAAATTCTGAAAAAACTGTATTATTATTAGGATACGAATGAAAATAAAAAATTAGGAAGTAAAATTTTACGAAAAACGAAATTTTATTTTTAAAGTTTCATAACGAAATAAAAACCTATAGAATAATAATGATATAATAAAAAATTCTCAGATACAGTTGTACTTTTTTTCCGTGCATAAATCAAGCTTTTCTCATTAATACACTCATACGCATGTACAGAGGACTTACTAGTGGTCTTTTATGTTCTGTGGGTATCCGCACCTGCTTGCTTTTAACTCCTGCGAATTGATAGGATTCTAAATTCTATTATTCTCATTGCTTATTCCTGTAGAGCGCCCAACCTCCTACTTCACTGTTTTAAAATAATCAAAATATTTATAATCATGCCTTGTGTTTCATATAGCACTATGTGCTCCGCTGGGACAAGCCTTTTGCGCAAAACGCTTTATTTTGCCTCCTTGGTACACAATGTACTATTTTTAATAATTATGTTTAAAATTATAAAGATTTAAAGTGATGAAAATTTTCGAACTTTATAAAATCAATTGTTTTAAAAATTTTTAGCTGATGGGATAGATATATTTCCACATATACGGAGAAACCTTTAGGTATACTTTGCTCGCCCAGAGTAGCAAAATTTTTGTTTCTCATTATGTTGGACGTCTGTTCTCCCGCTCCGGTCGCGCAGTGTTCCCGTTTTTTGGTGGGCTTTCCAAAAATTGGAAAAACGCCTAATGGGAGAACAGCATACCCAGAATCGGGCGAACTGTCGACTCAAAGGTTTCTCCGTATACGGAAAAATTATCCAGATGTCTGTGTGTGAGGCCATTTCTTATATCATATTATGTTTAAAAAACACTGAGACAGGTCGTTCTGAAATCTGATTTAAGTATTTCCAAATTGTTGCCTAAATCTGTGCTGAGCAATATTATTTGTGAAATTTTCGTTCTGTTTAAGGTAAAATCAGATGTCTCATTTATAATTAAATGTATTATTATTATCTTTTAGGAGAAGATGCATCACTTTACTCCAGTGGTTCTTTAAATTCTGTTGGATCTGTTTCACCTTCTACAACTGAGGATTTTACAAATGAATTACAAGGTCTTTCACCAGAGGAACGAGAAAGGCAGAAAGAGGAATGGAGTGCAGAACTGGCTAAAGTATATTTGAAATGAAAAACTTTGTTTATAATTTTAATCTTTGAATATTCATGGCGTAAGTATATAAAGTAGATTTTGCACTGTTCTGCTCAGATTCTAAATTGTTTTATTCCATGCACCTTTTTATATCAGGTAATTTCAAGAGTAGACAAAGAAAAGTCTACAAAGATTTCGTCAACAAAATACGACATATTTTTTTTCAAGTATTTATTTGTTGATACAAAAGTATCAACTCGAAAGTAACGAATTTCAAGCCATATCAATTTTTTGTTTTTTTATAGATAATCATCTTTTTCCTTAATGTTTGAAATCATTAACCATTGAAACTCCCAAATAATTATAGCTTCAAGCGAATTTATTTAAAAATTCGTTTGTCATTTTGATTCGACATTTATAAAGTTTAAAAACTGACATCAATTTCAAGCGAACAATTTTGCTGAAAAGAAATCCAAAATTAATTGAGAATTGTAGATTATAGGTTATTTTGAACCCTACTTTTTGATTTCAAACCACTGTGTGAATACACAAATTTTGTTTATTCAAAGAAATCGATTTTTATTTAAAGAAACTTTTGTAGGCGTAGTTTAAAGCGATACCTATACAAATTTCTGATAATAGATCGACAAGTCTAGAATTTTTGAAAAATGTTTGAAATTGTATTTCTCAGAAGTTTCAACTTTTTTTTAAAAACGTAACGTAATGTCAACCCCATGTAACTAGTTGTACAAAAATCGAGCACCAGCAATATGAATGAGCTCCAGTAGAAGTACTTTGCATATGCAATTTACTGTTCAAAAAAGTTTACAGTCTAGTTTTTGCCGGATTATGGTGATCTTTTTTTTGGAAAGAGTCAACAAAAATTTTAAAGAAACTCAAGGACGTATTTCTTAGAATTTTTATTTGTTATCAATTTTATTTTAATGCTAATAACAAATTATTAGTGGCTTTATCAATTTCCTTTCATTTATTAAGGGGTTAGTACCACAGCTCACTGACTTTTCGAAAACATTTTTTTTTATTACAAAATTTATTTTATTTACTTCAAACTTTTTATACCTAAAATATTAAAAATACTTCATTTGTTTGCTCATAATTTTTATATAATTTTTATTTCTGCAATATAGACTAGAAAAAGTTTTGATAAATAATTGTTTTAACTTTTAAATTATTCTATATTTCTTTTTCCAAATATAATTATAGAATATTTGTTATGAGTTTGCTTCTATAATTAAATTAAATGATTTTATGATAAAAATTGTTCTTTGAAAGGTAATAAAATATTTTATTATTTCTTAATAAATAATTATTTTTATTTTTAAATTTTTAACAATGTAATATTAAGTTTCTCACAAGTGCAGAAAAATCTGTCTATTTAGTTCAGAATTTCTCATTTCAGCGTGAATTATGTATCTATGAGTGACTATACACCGCAGTGAGAAGAGAAACATTGTCATGGGAAAGTAAGAAACTTTTCTCATCGATGAGTGAGTGAACTCAAGGTTGCCAACCTAGAAGACGTGTTGGTAAGGTAGGTATTGAATAGTTTCTTAAGAAAAAATTCAATACCTACCTTACCAACACGTCTTCTAGGTTGGCAACCTTGATTTCACTCACTCATCGATGAGAAAAGTTTCTTACTTTTCGCATGACAATGTTTCTCTTCTCACTGCGGTGTATAGTCACTCTATATGCGTTGCGTTATTCTGCTTTTACGTATGCGTACACGGAGAAAAAGAAAAAGTAATTTTTACTACTTTCAGAGTAAAACTGGACCAACTCGAAGTTTCTGCGCATCTCTGGCAATTTTTACTCCAAAAATAGTAAAATTTATTATTTCTGTAGTAAATTTTACTGTTTCCGTAGTAAGTTTTACTATTTCTAGAGTAAATTTTACTATTTTTGGAGTAAAAATTGCCAGAGATGCGCAGAAACTTCGAGTTGGTCCAGTTTTACTCTGAAAGTAGTAAAAGTTACTTTCTAAAAGAAATCTTTTTTCTCCGTGTATTGTAGTTAGCATGTGTTAGGAATAATTTTAAGCCAATCAAAGCGTACCAGTTATGTGTGTGTATTAAGAAAGACCCCCACTACCCTCCAATAGAAAAGGAGAGAAAACCTGAGAAAAGAGCCATTGGTGGTTCCGACGTTCTTCTTTTTTTCACGGCTCCTGCTTTTTCGTATAGTTTTAGCAAATTACGAAATGTTGGTTCTTGTTTTTCGTATAAATTTTGTAAATAATAAACACTGGTTGACACGGAAAATGGTTCAAAGATCGGACTAGGCTATTCTTAAAGGCTTTTCATCGATGAACTCGAATCTGACCTCCAAAAGCTCCCATCACGTCGAGATTTTGAGAAAAATGGACTCAAAGTCTCAAAAAACGCTGTTTTTGGCCTTTTTTCATCACGTGTAGAGAATGATGCCGAGGAGCTAGAAGTCTCTAATTAGTCTTAAATTAAAGCTTGAACTCTCAACTATAAGAATCAAATCAAAAAAGCTCTGAACCAATAAAAAATTTTCATATAGCACAACTTTTTCATGTGCGCGCGCACTCTACTTGCACTCATAGAGCGGTACACAATGGCACACTTACTTATTAATTTTATTTTCGCTATTTATTTTTATTTATCATTTTTGGGTTGTTCACTGAACATTGCTGATTAAATGTAAGGTTTTTATTAAAAAATCCAAAATAGTGGTTTCAAAATGTCGGACATAAAATTTCAAAAATTGATGGATTCGACTGAAACTTGGTATCTAGGGGTTTTTGAGGGTTTTTTTTAATAAAAGCCTTACATTCAATCAGCAATGTTCAGCGAACAACCCAAAAATGATAAATAAAAATAAATAGCGCAAATAAAATTAATAAATAAGTGTGCCATTGTGTACCGTTCTATGAGTGCAAGTAGAGTGCGCGCGCACATGAAAAAAATATATGAGAGATTCTTTTTCAATCGCCCCAGCCCAAAAAGTCAATGTTCTGGGATTGGCTTCATACTTTGGTAAATTGTTGTCCTATATGATAGTAATAAATCCCTAAAATATAAATTAATTAAAAAAATATTTGTAGAAAGTAGAGGGGGTTGAAGTTTTGACGTTAAGGGTAACATTGTCATTTTCAAATCCGTTTAACTATGACAAAAGTTAATGGATTTTAATTTATCTATAATGAATTTTATTGCATTTTTCACGTACTTTTCAAAAATGTATATGAAATTTAAAAAAAAAAATTTTTAACCCCTTTTTTGTCAAAATCAACCCTTATTTTTCGATTTTCACCCCTTCGGGTATTTTTTTTTTTTTTTTTTTTATTTTCATTGGAAAGCTGAGGTTTTTTCCGATGAGCTATTTAAATATGAAAATGGGACAACAATAATTTTGTGAGTAACAGAATATTAAAGTAGGCGGTGCCGATAAGGGGTGTACCTGGAGATCATCTTTGAGGATTTAGATAGGCACCGCCTAATTTAATATTATGTTTCTCACAAAATTATTGTTGTCCCATTTTCATATTTACATAGCTCATGGGAAAAAACCTCAGCTTTCCAATGAAAATAAAAAAAAAACAAAAAAAAATTCCCGAATGGGTGAAAATCGAAAAATAAGGGTTGATTTTGAAAAAAAAGGGGTCAAAATTTTTTTTTTTTAAATTTTGTATACATTTTTGAAAAGTACGTGAAAAATGCAATAAAATTCATTATAGATAAATTAAAATCCATTAACTTTTGTCATAGTTAAACGGATTTGAAAATGACAATGTTACCCTTAACGTCAAAACTTCAACCCCCTCTACTTTCTACAAATATTTTTTTAATTAATTTATATTTTAGGGATTTATTACTATCATATAGGACAACAATTTACCAAAGTATGAAGCCAATCCCAGAACATTGACTTTTTGGGCTGGGGCGATTGAAAAAGAATCTCTCATATTCGAAAATTGTAGATTTGAATTAAGAAATAATAATTTCAGTTTTCGTAAAATGTTTTCAGTTAAAGGTATTCGTAAAACTATACCAACTTTTATTATCAAACCAGAATGTTTCGCAATTGAAAAACAAAAATATCAAAATTTCTATTCAGATTTATTAAATATTCTAACAAGATTTTTTTCCGTGTATTTCAACTACAAATATTAGTAATTTTAACTAGGTGAAATTGATTACTGAAAAGTACCACGAACTGTGTAAGTTTAGTTAAAAACTGAAAATGATTCTGAATATGGTACTTTTAACCAATTTTCTTTAACAGTACAATTTTACATTAAAAATTATTGACTTAAATTACTAACAGATGAACAGCTCTATTATTTATAACTGAAATTAATTTTTTTTTTCAAATTGTTTTGCCACCTTCGGTTTCTTTCACATTTCATAAATCTATCAAAATCTGTAGACTGTGGAATTTTTTAACAGTCAATTGCAAATTCTGATCACAAGCATTGTAAAGAGTAGCAAGGCTATGGGACAAACGCTTTTGTGCAGTATCTGCCCTGCAATAGCGTATCACGAGCTATACAAATGTGAGGCTACTGTTGCTCCAATAGTAGGTATCATTGTACGAAAATTTTTACCTTGCAACTTTAAATGAATAGTTTAAATTCGCAGACCAGTGCAATTTACGTTCTTTTTAATTTTGTAGTTGATTTTAAAAACGATTTTGATTTCTTTATATTTTTATAAGTTTTATTGACTAATTATATATTTAATTATATAAGTCTATAGATGGTATTTATTCAAAACATATAATTCTATTTTATTTTACAAATAAAAAAATACATAATAGTTTTTTAAATCTTCTGCCATTGCTGTCTTACCTCCACTCTAGCGTGTACATAGATCGTAATTTCCATTTTTCTAACATCAAGTATATCTGATTTGGCTCTGATTTTTAACGACAACGATTGTTGGAAATGTTAGAGAGTTAAAAATGTATAAAAAAATTCACAAAGTTATTTATAATTAAAGTCTAATAATATGTTACCACTGGCATTGTAATACTGCCGTTATGATTTAAAAACACGTTATCTCGATCCACCCAAATTTCCTTAAAATAAAGTACAATTTTATCGACTAGATAAATAGATAGATAGTAATAGATAGTAATTTTGTTATTGGGATAGTCGTCGGTCCGAGGTTGTAAAACTGGCTTAAAAGCACATCTACGCAGCTGTGATTTTTAATTAGGTTTCACCTCAATTTTATACGCAAAAAAGTACAGATATACAAACGCGTTTTGTGAAATATCTCAAAAAGTCTCCAAATGTAGATAATGTGTCTTTAAAACCAGACGGCAGAATATACCGCAAATGTAAGAAGTTAAAAAAATGTGAGAAATGGAAGCAGTGAACAATGTATTTATAGTCATTATGTAAGTACAATTTAATAAATGAATATCTTTCTTGATAGGTAGAAGAGGAAATCCAAACATTACGACACGTATTATCAAGTAAAGTAAGAGTTTCACATGAATTAAAAAGAAAACTAGGTATTAGTGTTTGGAGAGAATTATCAGAAGATGTCAATCAAGGACTTCGTAATGTTAAAGAAAGTCATGTGTAAGAACTTGAGTACAATTTTGATTTGATTGATGTCTATTAGGTCAAGTAATTTACATTATTTAAAATTTTTTATATAACATAACATTTTATTTTCTAAATATATTTTCTCATGAAATTAGTATGCTTTGTATACTAATTTATTTCTTATACATATTTTTAAATAGAAATGAAAATTGTAGTCGTGAATAAAAATAATGTACGTACTGACTAATTAATTAAAACAATTGAATATTTGTTTCGAGGTCGACATGATATACATTCTGGTATTTTTTAGGTTTCAGAAAACCGAATCAGTGTTTAAATCCACAGCAGAAAAAACAACCAGTATCCTTGGCGGTTTTGGAAGTGGGCTTTCTATGAAACTTGGACAAATGAGAAATTCTAATAGTTTTCGATCTCTTGAAGAAAAAGTCGGTTCAGCTTATGAGAATGTAAAGGTATATATCATGTTATATATGAGATTCATAAAACTTCTAGCCTAAATGGAGAGGTCCAGTAGTATTGCAGCTTTGCAACATTAATTACACCAAAAAGATTGAAATAATATATTTTCAATCTCGATAAGTTTGAATGTTTGCATGTCATTGGTTGGACAAAAAACTTTAAGCCAATCAAATAAAAATATTCCCACTTTTCGAGATTGAAACTATATAAATTCGATCTTTTTAATGTAAAGTTCAAGTTCGATTTTTAATAGTGTACTATAAAAAGTTTCTCCTATGTGTAAAATTCAGAAAGTCTAGAGTTTTTGTTGATTAAATAATAGCCGCTAATTGGGCTTCTTAGTTCCTAACCTACCCGCTACAGGTAAAACTAAATTAGAGAGAGAAAGATATAGACAGTCTTATTTTATGTATCGAAACTTTTTTAAATTAAAAAAAAAATTTTATATGTTTAATTATACTTAACCCAGATAACCAAGCGTATACTAATCGTTATTTACGAGTACGGAGTACCAGTATTATACTAAAATAAGAAGCACAACATACTCGTACGATACAAGTATAATACTGGTACGTCGTACTGGGAATCTTTGCTGGTAATGCTAACCCAATCTCACTTTCTTGACAATTTATTGTCAAATATGAACGCGTCACTGAAAACGGTGCAATAAATGTTGGTGAAAAAAGTGGTTTATGATGCAGCAAAAGAGTATTAACGTTTGTAACTTGTGCTTCTGTACTTATCTTGAATATCCGAGATTAAATTTATATTAAATTATCGATCTTTATAAGATTTATATTCTTTTACTTTGACATGCCGCTTTGTGCCGTGGTGTTATTTCATTGAAAAACATCAAAATCTTTTCTTTTATAATCTTTTTTATACATTTATATTGAGAAAAATTGATAAATTCGGTCTTGATCATATTGATATATTTTTAAATTCAATTGCGTGTTATTTCGTTATAGTTTTTCTTATACATATAACATATTAATAGGTTAGGATGTGCTAATATGTTTTTCTTAACATCAAAGCAGTTTTAAACATCAAGTTTAAAATTCTTTTGAAATAATGTTTAAATGTAAACAAATAATCAATTAATATTTGATAAAGTTAAGAAATTAAAATAATATAAAACACTGGATATTTTAAGATAAGTGAGAATACAAGTTACATATTTTATATAATATATGCAAAAACATATATCATATGAATAAAAAAAAATTATTCAATAAAAATAAATAACTAAAAATGAATTATTATTATTTCAGTTCTCCCACAGATTTTCTTTTTAATAATAAATTCAAATAATTAAAATACTATTGTGGGAAGAGAAAGGGGAGGGTATATAATATTTTATATTGTACATCATACTAGTATTGTACCAGTACAATAACAGTACATTATACTAAGTCACAAAAGTTTTCAGTACGTCGTACTCGTATTCTACCGATATTGCATACCGGTACGCCGTACTAGTACAGTACCTGATACCGTGCGAAGGTACATGGCTGATACAGTACCAGTACGCCGTACTAGTATTTTTTTAAACATTTGTTTTTATACCAAATAAGTTCGCTTCGAGTACGGAACCCTCGAATACAGTGCGAGTTACACTCGCACTTGTCGAATTTTTTTATGAATATTTCCACTAATTTCCCACGCTTGGCTTCAAGTAGATTTAGGTTTTGCAAAAATGGTGACAAAATCGGATAGCGCAATTTCATTCTTAAATTTAAGTAACTTATATTTACAATTTCTTGTGAGGTAGGTATTAAGTAAAAATCTATTTTATGTTGAAACTCGAATAATGGGATATTTAATAAAAATCCAAATTTGAACCAAAAAATTACAAGCTTTTTACTTTTTGAACTTTTTTTAATGAATGCGGCTATTTCGACTTATTTTTATATAATGTGACTTGTTTGTTGTCATAAAAATCTACTGAAACGACTTCTTTCTCTTTCTAAAATCAATCCGAGGTCTAAAATAGGAAAAAATAAAAAGTGTATGTAAGCAAATCAAATTTTTATAAAACATTGAAAATGACATTTAAAAAAAATTTATTATTATACTGGGAAAATCTCTTCCTTAAATTTCACTTCTCTCTATAACTTTATCATCTTTTAAAAAATTTGGAAAATAAATTTTAGTTCTATACTTACTATGTTTTAAGATATTTTTTATTCCTAAAGAATGAGTGGTCTCAAAATTTTCACCGGTAGTGTAATTTAAAACAACTTTAGGGGTAATCCATAAAGCATGTGATACTGTAGGGGGTAGGGGGGGGGGGGTCAGCAAAATATCACACTCCATGTTAATCGGTATTGGAAAAAGCATCACAAGGGGGAGGGGGGGTGTTAAAATTCTGAAAAAATGTATCACATGCTTTATGGATGACCCCTTTAAAGCATTTTGTTTAAGGAAAATATACATTTAGATTTTACTTTACTTTTCCCCTTTTTTCAAACAAAATTTTCCCTTCCCTTTTTTTTAGCAAATTTTATGCTGTCAAGTCTGCTTAAATTTAGCCCATATTGAGCTACCTGCTCAATTGTTTAAACGTATTTAATATATAAAAGTATGTTTTTTCTTTAAGAGAGAAAATGAAATCATACAATATTTTTGTTTGCAGACAAAAGTCGTGCCTTCCAGGTCAAATTCTACGCAAGGCTTTGATGAAGCTTTAAGAGAAGCCGAAGCGTCTAGACGGTCATCCGCAGCATCGAACGCGACCAGTCCAACTGATAAAACTCTTTCTTAATTTATTTTCTCTAAAGTCATTGAGTGTAAGAATATTTTTCATTCCACACTTAAAAAATATATGACATTACTCACATTTTTGTACAGTTAACAACAATTATGTAAAACTAAACTACTCTTAAACTAACATTTAAAAAAAACATTTATTGTATTGAACTTGCGCACTTGAATTTCTTCCAATGTTCATATTATGAGAATTTAATGTTCAGAACCTCATTTTTCTTAATTAAATTAGTGCTAGATTCTAAAACAATCGAAGAAAATCTTAAAAAAGCAAATAACATAACTGTCGTGTTTTCGAGAAACACAGTAACTGCATACGATGTTTCTCGAAAACACGGTAGATAATGTTAATGATATTTTTCATATGCGAGGAACATTAACAATTTTATCAAAATATTATTTTTAAAAAATCAAACAAATTATAATTATTACATAGAGCTTATTAACTATCGTTTCACAAGAATAAGAAATCAAACATTTATAATGGATACAACGTCTTTGTTAATATATAGAGAATGACCGCTACACGAGTTTTATCTCATTAAAAATTACTTAATTTCCAAACTGCAATAGAAAATATTATAATTATACTCTTTTATTTATTATAATAAATTTCTTTATTAATTTTAAAGTTTAAACACTTTTATTAAAAACTTTATACAACAAATTTTATTTAGAAATAAAATTTAAAACGAATTCACTCTCGTTACTGATTAAAAAACTGGGTTTAAATCTAAAAATAATGTATCGAATTGCGAGTCGTTGCAATTAATATACATTATTTTATGATGAGTACTATTTAAATAGAAACTTTATACATAAATGTATCTAAAAAGCTTGATACTCGATCGAGTAATTTCGAGCCTTTCGTTTCATGACTCCAGTCGACTTAAAACTAGCATTCAATTCTCCATAGAAAAACAATTTGGATGCCGCCTGATATTCAGGCCGAATTTATACAACCCAACTTAATCTGCGTGTATCATAGCGAACTCACACCCTGCGTATTTGAATGTGCATACACGGAGGTTAGTTTTTGTTGTATAAATTTCCGGAAATTAATGCAAAAAGAGCCATTTTTCTGTACACGTTTCTCAAAAACTTTTTAATTTATCGCTTCGGGTCTTGTTGCATTCAATTACAGATATATAGTCAAGTATTTAATCAAACAGTTACAAGACTCCAAGTTAACAACAAATGTTTTTATAAACATTTAAGCCCACTGATAAAAAAATTATTGACTTTTTCTCATGTTTTTATGTATATCTTTTTCAAAAAAAGTTAGAATTATGTCAACTATTTGATTGGTATCTTGAAACTTTCCTTAAAAGGACTTGCTTTGACCTATGACCTTTAAAATTTTAAAGGGAGGGTCATATCTTGACCTCAGATAATAATTTTGAGGTTATGTCCGTCTCTACTCCATTAAAAAATTTTGGTTTTTGACATATGTCCTTGATTTTTATGGTTATGTTCGTTTTAATCTTTGATTCTGTCGTTTGACCTTGAGTATTGATGTCATGTTAATTTAAAACCTATGTTTTTGATATAGATAGTACAATATCTGAAATTTTCGAGACAAATTCTGAACGGTACGCGAGATTTAATGCTTCGCGAGTTGAATGGTAGGCGAGTACTGTAGCGACGAAATTTTCGCCTAGAGTTGATCTTCTATCATTTCTAATAGGTTTAATTAAGATTGGTTCACCTGCATGAAGCATTACGGGCTTGCAGTGGCAGGGGGATTGGGTATATGCTATTGAATACTTTTTAGGGGCTTGCAGTGGCATTCTCCATACCGCATCGAGAATAGCCAGGGTGGCCACTGATCCGGGAAAAAACCAGGAAAAATTTAAATCTGGAGAAACCCGGGACTGAAATTTCACGTCAGGAGATTTTTTTATCACGCAGTTTACGAGATATGAATTTAAGAATTTTAATGATTTTTTATATTTGAATTCTCTCATGGAAACAAATTAGTCGCATCTGCTGTGCAAACGCATTAATTAAGATATGCATTTTCCAGACATAACGTTCTTCCTTTGTGAATCGCACAATAGTCAGCTATAACGTGGTCTAAATGAGACGTGGTTTTGAAACGTCAGAATGAGACATGGTTATGAGACGTCAAAATGAGACGTTAAAATGAGACGTGCTTGTGTCCTTGTGAGACGTCAAAATAAAACCTGGTTTTGAGACGTCAGAATGAGACGGGGTTATGAGACGTCAATGTGAGACGTTATAATGATTCGTGGTTTTGAGACGTCAGAATGAGACGTGGTTATGAGACGTCAAAATGAGACCGCATATTAAAAAAGTAGTAAAGAAGAGCACTAAAAAAAATCAATATCAATCCATCAATTTTTAAAATTTTCGGCCGCCATTTTGAATTTTGAAAATCTAACTTCAGATTCGTAACCAGCGACCCAAGAAACCCCTAGATACCAAGTTTTAAGTAAATCCATCAATTTAAAAAAAATAGCCTACCTCTCAAAATCCGAAAGTTTTTTTAAGGTAAGAAAAAAATCCTGACATGATGGAGCAAAACGGACTTCGGATTCGTGTTCAGCGCGTTAAAATACATAGGAATTAAATGTTTTTATACAGGATTTCATAGATATAAGGAATTTTTATTAAGGAAAATTTTTATAATTTGATTTTAGTTTTTATATGAATTGATATAAAGTAAGTGCACCTATTACTGAGGATACTCCAATTTTCGAGGTTCATAATTTTCTGTATGAGATGAATAGTATATTGTACAGCATTTAAAAATAAAATTTATTTCTAAATAATAATTTTTATATTTCAAACTACATATTTGCTTAAGCCAAATTAATGTATTTACAATTACACAATTTTCTTGATAAATATAAAAAAAGGAAAAATTTAACATTTTTGAAAGTTTATTGCAAGTAATTTTTTACAGTTGAAATTGATTCAATATTATTATTCTCATTATCAACTAACTTCAACTTTGAAAAATTACATGCATTAACCAAAAAAAAAAATAAAAATTCTAAATATTTATATATTTCCTAATATAAACTCGGGATCAATGCGAACATGATGATTTGACTTTCTTCTAATTAATGAATAAGAGTCGCCAAATCAGGTTTACAAGTGATCTTTAAAATTTCATTTTATATTGAATTTCGTATCAATTTAAAATAATAAATTTAGTTGTAAATAAATTTCAATAATTTTTTTACACTTCTGTAGTGAATTGTATGTTTTTCAAAAATATTTTTTAATTCCTGAATTAAAAAGTTTTTTGCATTTCTATTTATTTAATAATAATTTATGGTAATAAAATAAACTAAAAATAAATTTTATTTTTCTTCATACCTCGGTCGAAAGTACGTATCTCCCGCATCGACTTCTCAGCAGAAAGTCGAACATTTGTGCATTTCTGTAGAAATGCACAGACTATTATAGGTCTGAAAGTGTATGAAAGGGCTCCTCACGAGACGAGACAAAACAAAAAATTTCGAGACGAGACTAGTAATTTTGTAAAAATATTTTTTTATAATAAAATATTTTTAATTTTAATTATAATGTTTTTGTATTGTTAAACCATAATCTAATAAAACTAGAGAATGATCTGTGAATCTTTTGTTTTTCAATCAATTCTTTAGAATATAAAATTTATTTTATCTCTAATCTCGAAATTTTTTTAAACAGTGCTCTAAAATTGCAATGCATCATAATATTTACAAAGACTTTCCTATAAATTACTGTTGTATTCTTTTTAATTTATGTATATTTAAATTTTAATTGAAATAAATATTCTATAGTTTACAAGGAATCATTTTTTTTGCTTCCTCGTGGAGGATTTTTTCAAACGCAAACTTCAAAGAAGGATATCTCAAACAAAAAAAATTCTTAAAAGTTCTAAACTCAAAAAAAATTTGTACCGGTATAAAAAATCAAAAAATACCCAAAAAACGGAATTTTTTCAATTTCCAAGGTCAATTTTTTCGAAAACATAGGGTGATGGAACAATTCTGAATTTAGATTCGTGTTCAGCGTCAAAAAACCCTGTAAGAATCACCCGATGCGATCCTAAAAATAAAAAAAAATAAATTATGTTGCAGTGTTAGCAATGGCAGATGTGTTTAATCTTTTGCGGTAAATAAGCTTTTCTTATGATGAGACGAATCTTGGCCCATTAATGGCTCATTAACGACTGACGTGTTCCTCACCCTTACGAAAAAATATGACATGGAAAAAATGATACTCATGAATGACGTTCATGTGAGTGTGATTATTTCGCGACCACACTCAAAAAACGACTCTCAAAGAACGACATGAAAAACGTCATTTAAAAAATGACAACATTATTGTGTATAATAAAGGTAATTTAACAAACTAAATGAAAAGGTGTTAATTTAAAAATAGTATGTTTATTTATAAAATCCTAAGGGGAAACTGCCACAAGTAACGCACCATAAGCCAATATTAAAAATTTTTTAAAATCAATTATTTAAAAAAAATTTTTGTTTATTTTTATTATTCTTTAATAGTTATTATTATTTCATTTTTAATAATTAAATTAAAATAAAAAAAAATGGTCATCACAGTATTAGTGAAATCATTTTTTCCAAAAAAAAGTTTGGATATAGTTCCGAATAGCACATACCTCCGATTTCAATAAAACTTAGTATCCCTACGTAATTTGGTGCGCTGATTACCAAAATCATAGTGAAAATTGGCGGAAATTTAATTATCATGGTAAAAACCATAAAAAACACCATAAAATCATGGTTTTTTTCGATTATCTCGTAAAAAACAAAAAACTTCGAAAAAAGTTTTAGACGAAAGTTGTAGATCTCTAAAAAACACACATTTCATGTTTTATGCATTTTTTACCAAAAGTCATTATTTTTCGAGAAAAACGCAAAATAGTAAACACGGCCTTCGGCCGCGTAAGGTACTGCTCGCTTCTCTTTTTAAGAAATCTTGGCGAGAGGGGGTGGATGTGTCCGAAAGTAATTTGCAGAAATTGTGGGGTGGAGTCTACAGCAGCGGTAAACGCAAAATAGTAAACACGGCCTTCGGCCGCGTAAGGTACTGCTCGCTTTTCTTTTTAAAAAAACCTTGGCGAGAGGGGGTGGATATGGCCGAAAGTATTTTGCGGAATTCGTTGGATCCTGAGTAATGGTGAATATGATAATTTCTGCAAATTACTTTCGGACACATCCACCCCCTCTCGCCAAGATTTCTTAAAAAGAGAAGCGAGCAGTACCTTACGCGGCCGAAGGCCGTGTTTACTATTTTGCGTTTTTCTCGAAAAATAATGACTTTTGGTAAAAAATGCATAAAACATGAAATGTGTGTTTTTTAGAGATCTACAACTTTCGCCTAAAACTTTTTTCGAAGTTTTTTGTTTTTTACGAGATAATCGAAAAAAACCATGATTTTATGGTGTTTTTTATGGTTTTTACCATGATAATTAAATTTCCGCCAATTTTCACTATGATTTTCGTAATCAGCGCACCAAATTACGTAGGGATACCAAGTTTTATCGAAATCAGAGGTATGTGCTATTCGGAACTGCACCCAAAAGTTTGTCACTTATATACATATCTATTGGCACCTCAACTGCGAGAAGAGTGATTTTCACCCTCCCTATGTGGCGTTGAGCGAACTAAAGTCCAGAGCAGAGCCCATGAAGTAGTATAAGGAGCACTCACTGCTTGTTAAGCATATAGGCCCCTTGCATGAGAATAAATCAGAAATTACATATCTCCGATTATGATGCCTCTAGCGGGAAAGCGGTGTACTTAGAAGTTTTCAAAATATGGCTGTACCTAGTGACAGCTGTTCTCACATATATAGCTAGACATTGTTTGTCGTGGAAATTTATTCTCAAATAACTGCAATGGCCCCTCAAAGTTCATGTGCGCAGTTTTTATAGTTTTCCCTTTATTTCTTTAGATATGTATAGCCTTTCTAGAATTTAGCTAGTTATTGTCTAGAATGCTTACTTGAAAATTTTGTACAAGTTCGTACTAAAGACTATCTAAAATTTACCAAGATGCGGCCTAGGATACCGTCATGAAAAATTAATATAAGTCCGTCAAGCAAGTGTCACTGAATTCGCTACAGTAACTAGCTAGTAGACGAATTCAGTCTTTGACAATCTTTGACGTGCATATATGCTTCTGGCTATTATTATATAATGTAAGCATTATATTATAAATAATAAGTTTAATTGATTTGAAGTTTTTATTTTATTGGGCTAATATTGACAAGTAAATTATAATTTATATATAATTATTGTTTCTTTATCTTTCTGCTCCTCAAGTCTTCATTTTCCTCAGTCGCAACTTATCAAATCAATTTTGTATTTATTTTCCCATGTTAAGGTGGCGTAATTGTTAGCCTGTTAGCCTGCGGAGCGTTAGGTTCGGGGGTTCGATCCCAGCGAGCGTTAAATATTTTCCAAAATTTATGAAAGCGATTGCGTTAAATAATAATAGGTAGGGGTAAATATAAGGTCTCCAATTATAAATAATGTGTTAATCGTATAATTAATTCCATAATTAATTTTTTTTTGTGTAGGTGTTACTACACGGAGAAAATCTGAAAGCACTGAGTATTTTTTCTCACATCACTGGCTACTGTGGAAACCAAAAAATTAAATTCCAAAACTCTGAATGTTTTTTGCACAGCACTCAATGCTCTGCATAAAATAATCACTATTTTTTTGACAGTTATTAGAATTTCGGTTTATATTAATGGACAACAGAGTTTTCAAAGCTAGGAATATAGCAATAAATTATTCGCTCGAAGTCGTGACTGCTTTCCTCACAGCTCTGAGTACTGTGTAGAATTATTTTTTAGGATTAAAAAAATAAAAGAACATTTAACCTTTAATAAAAAATAAATAACAATTTTAAACAAGCGTTCAAGACTATTTTAATCAATTTTAGATGTTTTCTTATATTTTTATGAAAAACAGATTATTTGACTAAAATTATTTATATTTAATTAAATAAGAAGTAATAAACTTTAATAATATTAAACAAATTACTTTTTATTAATAAACGTAAGAAATAATAATTTTTATTACTTCACGAGATAAATATTTAAATTAATAATGTTGAAACTTAATATTTTTTAATCATAATTATCTATAAATTTAGATTAGGTTGTAATTTGATATTAGCTAAGAAATCTTAAAATCTTAAAACTTGTGAAATACAAATAAATATTTTAAATTTACCTATAATAATTGATTTTTAAAATAATTATTTATTATTTCATTATTGTATAATAACTTTATTTGCTACATAACTGAAAAATTAAAAAAAAGCGATAGTTTTCAAAAAGACTTTTTGAAGTCTTCATTTTTTTATATCTATTATTCATTAACTGTTTATAAACATGTCAATTAAAATCAATATTTGAAAAGAAAAAATAACCATGGCTATCTTCTTTTAAATTGACGTTAAACGTTCCTTTGTTTTCTAAATTCTTAAAAATAATTCTGCACAGTACTCAGAGCTGTGAGAACAGCAGTCACGACTTCGAGCAAAGAATTTATTGCTACATTTGTAGTTCTAAATAATCTGTTGTCAACTAATATGAAACGAAACTCTCTTTACTGTCAAAAAAAGTTGTGATTAATTTTTTGGTTTACACAGTAGCCAGTGATGTGAGAAAAAATACTCATTGCTTTCAGATTTTCTCCGTGTACCTATTTAAAGTTGGGTCGACCCTTGGGTAGATAGAAACTGTATATTTTAATATAATGAAACTGGCTAGAAATTTTTATTTTACTAGAAAGGGATTAGACAACACGCCTGGAAAAAAACTAGCTATCCCCAGCGTCACATACCATACTTGATTCTGTCCAGTTTTCCTCTCAAGTTGCTTGATTGAATCTAGCTCAACAGTACAGTTTCCAATACATTTCCACGATAAATTTCCACACGGGAGTACAGGGGTTCCAGTGTAGATTGAAATTTTTGTGTTTTATTCCAATCAATTTACTTACTATAAAATAGTGCAAAACAAGCGTGAACTGGCACAATTATTATATAGATTATTTCTCTAATCACAAGTTTTAATTTAAAGGCATTAGTCTAATAAAAATTAGCGTTTCTGAGGATACGTTTTTATTCTTTTTTTTAAGTTGATAAAAACATATAATAAATCTTTCATATGAAATTACATTTAAGTAACGTGTAAATATTCTTTCAAAAAAATATTTAAAAATATTATATTGACTTTTTAAAAAATTAAAAAATTACAATAAAACTAAATTTAATTAAAGTAATACTAAAGGATAAATTTTCACTAAAATACATCACATAAAACCCTTCATTTTATGAAATAATTCTTAATATTTAGGAAAGCAAATTTTCCTACTACATTCAACAACCCTTACAAATACAAATAAAAAGCTTTATTAAAAATCTCTTTTAAAACCATTGACAACGTAAACTCCAGTCGATAAAAATATTTAAGCTACGAATATTGTATCTAAATCACAGTTTGTGCTAATAATTGTTCCTTACATTTGTTTAGAATATTATAAAAGTCTAATTAACAAATACGTATATTGAATTATCAAGTATTAGATGTTATTCGTAGCAAGTAAAATTGCACTTCCACGAAAAAACGAGTGTATAAACGTAGAAACTAAAGTTAATTACTTATAAGAAAATTTAAATTAATAAATATTAATATAATAAGTTCATTTCATTATAAAACGATAAATTTATCATAGATTACATATACATATAATATTCGTTGCATTGGTTCAATCAATAAAATACATACTTTTTTACAAACGGCAAAAATAATTCGATATATAAATTGCGTTGGCGACGAGAATAAAAACGAAAAGAAAACGATAACAAATATAGTGAATAAAATGTTAGCTTGTATAACACACAATATAACTGTAATATAAAATGAATTGTATTCTTAAAGTCTTTGATATTGCTTTTTTCTTAATTAAGATTTTAAATTGTTATTAAAGTATGAGTAACAGTTTTTTTCTTGCCGAAAGAGGTTTTTAAGTTTCTAAAATGGTACATTATTAAAGTAACTCAAAATTAATTAATTAATAGGAAGCAAATAGGTACATAATAAGCTCTTCTAGAATCATTTAAAATAATTAAATTTGAGCGAATGTTTCAGATAGAAAATTACTATAAATAAAAGTGTAAAAAAGTAGTACCACATTTTTACAGTTTAGAACACATTGTGTATTTAAAAAAAATAATAATCATGCCGCTCATCACTCAAATGAATCAATTGCAAGTAGGGTTACAACTGGCTGTAATAGTAGTAACAAGTTGTGGTTGTGTACTAGATAAATCGGCTGAAGAATTATTGTTATTGTTACTGTTATTATTATTATTATTATTATTACTACTACTATTACTACTACTACTACTACTATTAGTTGTACTAGTGCTTGCATTATTGTTGTTGGCAACATTTGGCTTTTGTGCTACATGTGTCTGGTAATGTTTGGCTAAATGAGCCTTCTGTCGAAAGCTTTTTCCACATAGTGAACAAGCGAAAGGTTTTTCTCCAGTGTGTGTCCTAATGTGCACATTTACACTATATTTATCCTTGAAACCTTTACTACAAATACTGCAGTAATGAAGAGATCTTTCTTTCCGTTGAACACTACTAGGAGAACCACCAGGCGGGCCAGATTGTTGATTAGAATTATTGTTACTATTACCACTACTACTATTAATACTATTATTGCTACTTAAAACTGAGGAAGAGGATGATGTAGCTCCAGCGTTAGAATTATTTGTGCTATTGTTCTTACGTCTGCAATATTTTTTACCAGATTTTGTTGTAGTATTAGTACTCCCACTAGTAGTGACTCTGGCTATCTGGTTAGATGTTACCTGCTGCTGAATTGATTCGGTAATATCTGCTCGGTTGGTGACGGCTTGTTGAAGTATATCTTGTTGAGTTGCAAGGCTACTGGCAGTCACTACTGTTACAGTTCCAACTTGACTCAAATCGGCAGGTAAAGTAATGGTTCCAAGATTTCCACTACTTGGATCCAATGTATACATAACCGTTGTAGCAGCAACATTGCAAACAGGTTCCAAGTACGATTCAACTACCTCATTGGCAATACTCTTTAACTTGTCATATTCTCCTGGTCGATAAGTAGGTGTATCTAAATGAGATAATATTAAATCCTCATCAGTGTTTATTACTTCTTCTTCTAAATGATCTTGTTGCTGATGTTGATGAAGATGTTGGTCTGCAATAAGTTGTAATGTACTGCTTGTAGAAGAAGCTGTTAAGGATATAGTAGAATTAGCTTGAGATGATGAAGATGATACCAAAACAGGAGAAGAAGAACATGTCGTATATAATTTTCCCTGTAAAGCACTTCTAAGTAAACTTTCTGCTGAATCTGTAACGACAGTGGCTGCTGTTGCAACTGTCGTTTCATTTAGATGATTTTGATCAGACAGCTTCCAATCATTGTTGTTGTCACCTAAAGTGTTAGGCTGTAATCTAGGTAATTCTTTACTTTCAACAAAATTTCCGTCATCTGTAGGATAATGAGAAGTTGGATGATTGGCTGTGTGGAAAGAATTTCCGGAAGTATCTATTCCCATTCTTTCATGATCTTGTTGTTCCGTTGTTGTGGGCTCTAAGCTAAGAATCGCGTCCAAATCTAAATTAGGTCTTAGGGACCATGAATCAGAAACTGTTGGAACTGGACTTTTACAACAGTCTAGAGCATCCATCGAATCGGTCTCATTATTGAGTACTGTTAATGTATAAATAGCGCCGTCTGTATTTTGTCTGTCACTACAAGCTACGGAGTCATTAACTTGTTGATGCATAGACGCATCAGCAGATTGACCTACAAGTGAGTGATGGCAATCTGTAGCAGACCAACAATATTTATTTAAATCTTCAAGAAGTATATTACATGCTGATTCTTTATTATCTCCAACAGCGCTCCAATAATCACAGTCAGAATGTTCCATTGAAATTTGATCATTTTGAATATTATCGCAATTATTATTTCTAGAATGCTGACTTAAAGAGCTGGTAATTGTAGAAACAGGTGGCAAAGCAGTCAGAGTATTATTATTTGTTTCTTTAATGAACGTTAATTCACGTTCATTATCTTCCATACTTAATTGTCGATCATGTAAGAAATCCAGGGCTCTACAGTTTGGCGTTTGACGTAAAATACTTTCTTCATTACTTTCAATTGAATGAGAAGGAGGCGGTTGTTGTGATGACGATAAAGACTGTGGTGACACAACAAAGTCAAAAAAATCGGTTTTGTCCATATCTTCAGTAATTACAACACCGCTACCACCACCAGGAGCAAAAGCCTCAGTTAAATCCATTTTAAGCCTCAAACTTTTTAATTCTCGTTGGTAATAATTTTTAATACGGATTTACTCTTGCTGATTAGACACTGTAGATATAGCTTTTTCATTCAATATATGTTTTTTGCTGATAAAAACTCCAACAAATCTGTAAGTAGAAAAAAATTCGTTAAATAAAGAATTTATAAATAGTTATTTATGTCGCAAGGGCGCGAAAGTAGGGGAATCGAGAATCGTGTGAGTTTGACAATCACGCGAGTCGAGATTTCCATATTTACGCCCATGTCCCATACATAATTTTTTATAACATTTTGCGTCAAAAACTCGACTAAATTGCTGTGATGGAAGGGGAAAGTGTGCGTAAAAGTACGATTTACCCTCCTTTTAAGCACTAGTGCGTAAAAGACAGCGATTTAGTCGAGTTTTTGACGCAAGGTGTTATAAAAAGAATGTTTTGATAAATTTATTTTTCTTTTAAAATCGTCCTAAGAACTTAATAGTTAGGAAAAAATGACAAAATAAAAAAGTACGGTTGCAATTTTTATTGACCTGCTCATCTTGCAAAAAGAAGTATCTTATTTTAAGATGTTTTGGTAGCGTCTTCAAGACATCTTAAACATCTTAATGTCTTAAAAACGCTACACTGAAAAAAATGTTGCCGAGAAATTCAACTACCATATTGGGTAGTTGACTAGAAAGTAGTTAAAATAACTACTTTTTTAGTTAATCTAATCATGTTGATGTAGTTAATGTAACTATTTTTGAGAAGTTTATAAGTAATAGTTGATTTTACGTAAATATGTAGTTAAAGTACAACTACAGGTCGGTATTAAAATTAACTTTCTTAAAGTAGTAAAAACAAGTGGAATTGTAGTCAACTCAAAATTTGAAGAGTAGTAAATCCAACTACTATTCACCAGTTATATGAAATGTAGTAAAAGGAATTATTTTCTTTAATTAATATAACTGCTTTTTGAGTAGTAAATTTTTTATTAATTTCTATGATTCAATAAAATTCTTGTTGTAGAATTAACAAGTCGTCTGTAATTAAAACTACTACTTTAAGTAGTAAATTTTTACTATTTTAATTAATTCGATAAACTTAAAGAAGATTTTTGATTTAGAATTTACAAATCGTATCCAGTTAAAACTACTACTTTAAGTAGTAGACTTTACTACTCAAAGTGGTACAATAGGCTTTAAGAACATTTTTATTGTACACGGAGAGAAATCTGCTGCGATTTGCGCATGAGCAAGTCCATAGGAATATAGCATGGACACTTCCAAGCAAAAACTATAAGATTCCATCTGAATATCAGGTGAGACTCATACAATAATACCTCGCTCACTTAGGATTTTTGCTTGAAAGCGTCTGTTACTATATTCCTAAGGACATGCTCATGCGTAAATCGCACAAGATTTCTCTCCGTGTAGTATTAAAAAATCCTTTGTGATTAAAACTACTACTTTACGTAGTAATTTTTTACTATTTTAATTAATTCAATAAGCTTGAAAATCGTTTTTGATGTAAAATTTAGAAATCGTTTCCAATTAAAACTACTACTTTCAGTAGTATCTTTTACTACTTAAAGTGGTTCAATAGGCCTTAAGAACATTTATGTCGTAGAATTAAAAAATCCTTTGCAATTAAAACTATCACTTTAAGTAGTAGATTTTACTGCACAATGCAATTAAACAACTTATAATATAATTAAAAGATGAAAAATTTACAAGTCAAAACTTAAAAAGGATAGTCATAGCAACTAATAAAAGTAGTAAATATGACTACTTTAAATAGTTAAATTACCAATTCGACAAGCAGAAAGTAGTCTTCGAGTAGTTTGCAGACTGTCGTAGCGAGCGTGCGTGGTTAGTCGGTTAAGGTATCAGATTGCGAGCGTTAGGGTCGAGGGTTCAATTCCCGTCAGTTAGAAATTTTCTCTGTTAGGGCATAAAATAAGCGTCAGTATAGGAGAGAGGATAAAAAAGTCAATACTACTGATAATAAACAATTATAATTAAAAAATAATTTTATTTTCCTATTTTAAGTAGTAAAATTTACTACTTAAAGTAGTAGTTTGAATTGCAAAAGATTTATTAATTCTACAAAAAATGTTCTTAAAGCCTATTGAACCACTTTCAGTAGTATAGTTTACTACTTAAAGTAGTAGTTTCAATTGCAAAATATTTATTAAATGTACCAAATAAATGTTCTTAAAGTCTATTGAACCACTTTAAGTAGTAAAATCTACTACTTACATCTTGAGTTGTTTTAACATTTTTAAATTGAGTTAATACAATCACAAAATGTCATTCTACCAATTACATTTTTAATTGGTTTTACTATTTTTATATAGTTAATAGAACCGTTTAAATTCAGTTGAGGACCTATTGTACTACTCAGAGTAGTTAAAAAGTAGTAAAACCTACTAGTTTTTTTTCAGTGTACCAAAACATCTAAAAATAAGATACTTCTTTTTGCAGTGCAGTCTGACGGTGAAGGGTATTTTTCAAGATTACTATAAAAGTAACTAGACAAGACAGAAAAAGATATTGTTTTAAATTTTAATAATTTATTTGAACAGGTTGTTTTATAAAAAGAGGAATGAGTTTAAATTTAAATTTTATTCTGAATTTAGAAAAACCGACCTCAGAATTTTATGCCCAGTGGTGGGACTTTTTGTTACTTGCAACAAACTTATCGCGCAAACTTGGTAACCTGTTATAGTTTTCTGCAAACTTTTACGCTATCTGAGAATTCCAGGGATATCCTTTTATTGTGTGGGATAATTTTAATTTTAAATTATCAATAACGTCAAAAAAGAAATTGGAATATGAAAATAACAAGAAAAAAATGATCTTTTTCTAAGAATGAATGCAAAGTAAATTGTAAATGGAACAGCAGCAACTGAGACAGAGCTTTAAAATTATATTATATATACATCTAAAATTCGAAATATTACAGGTGTATTACAGTAATATTACAGTAATCTTAAAAAATGGCCGCCTACAAGTAATATTACATATAATATTAAATGTAATTTTCAATATACAATTGCAATGTTAACTAATTGTTTTTTTAAAATCAACACATTTTCCTGTTTGTAACAATATTTCAAGGACTTTTCATTGAAATATTTAAAAAGTTTTATATGTTGTGTGGGTTATTATTACTTGAATATAAAACTAATATTACATGTTATATTATCTTCAGTCAGACAGTTTAAGATTACATTAAATGAGTCTGCATTCAACTCATTTTGATGTGCAACAATAATGAGTCAGAAAGATGGCGCTATATTCTATGTCATTTAGCATTTTGACTCCTTTTTGTTGCACTTTAAATTGAGTTTATATGAACCTACTTTGAGGACAGGTTTTTTCTGTGTAAATAATAGGATATGATATCTATTCTTCGGACAGCGTTATTAACTTGTCAAATATATTGTAACTCTGTGACACAATATCTTTTGGCTTGAATAGTGAAAAAAAACATAACCCATACCATATTTGTTGTAATAATTAATACTGAGTTTATTGTAGACCTTATTGGTTTTTACAATTTCCTCACAACATTATTAGGGTGTTGTAGGGTGATGTGCAATTAGGGAGATGTGCAACGTTTAAGATTCCCCGTCTGCATGTCGATATTTGACAGAAGCGTATACTGCCATCTTTTGGTGTCCACAGTAGCTTGTTTTTTATGTATAACACACGAGATAGCACGCCCTCTGGTTTACTGTACGAAAAGTGAGTGACATTTCTCATGTTGAAAGTTTTATTTGTGCTTCACATTCGTGGGGATTTGACGCATTGTTTTTAATCATTTTATAGGTAAATATGTTTGCATAGTTAGTTTTTTAAGTGCTTTTGATATTCCGAAAAGATTTTGTGATTTATTTACATTGTGTGCGGGTGTCACACTATTCCGAGTAAAATAGCGTGTTTGGGGGGATGTACAACACTTTTTTTGGGGTGATGTGTAACACTCACTTTTCGATAATTTATCGCTATTTTATGATTTAATTTGTGTTATCAAATAACCTTGCTTTTAACCTTAAAAAATTTAAAAAAAAAATGTTTCGTCTAATTTATATAATCAAATTTATATAGGTAATAAAATTGTAAAAATTATACGAAAAATTAAAAAAAAATTCTTTTAAGTATAAAGTAAGGTTATTTGGCAACCTTGCACCAGCCTTGCTACAAGCTTACCGTGCAATCTTGTGACAATCTTATAGTGCAATCTTTCAGTAACTTTACACTGCAATCTTTCGGTAAGCTTACCATGTAAGCTTGGGTCAGGTGGGACATTTGAAGCTTGCGCCAAGTTTGCCGTTCAAGGTTAGCAATATTGCACCGCAAGGTTGCTGCAAGCTTATGTTCTATCTGGGTAGCGAGTACCAAGTCGGTCACCCATCCAAATAATAATCGTACTCAGGGGTGCTTAACATCGGTGACCGCAAGCCAAGGCGCTTCACTGCATGAGCTATATATCATCTGTCCATCTCATTCGTTGTATTGGTCTTCAGAGTCCAATGGATGAGATAAATTATTTAATCTTTTTTCTCAGTGCATAATACTTGTAAATGATCAATTTATAATTACCCGAAAATATGTAAACTATTGTCCTGAAAACAATATGTATCATCCTTAATCGACATCAAAACATCCAATTTTTATAATGCGGTAGAAAACGTCCAGAATATAAAGACAATCCTTAGTTGCAGTATCTAAAATTAATTAAAATATATTATTATAAGCATTACTTTATAAGACAAACAACATCATGCACAGAAAAAGAGAAGTGTTATTTTTTTGCCTGTTAATTTAACTAATGCTAAGTCACATAGACAGTGATATCTTCAACTTGTGTTAAAATGTTGTTTTAACACGATTTAAGGTGTTATAATAACACTTTTTTCTAATGTGTGATATGGTCTACTAAAAGAGACATAAGGTTCAAGTTCAGTTTTTCAAATACAAAAAGGAGGTTCCAATATGGCGAAAAAGATTTTAAAATGTACTGTCTATGGTACAGTTAAAACACACAAATTTTCTTTACAAATGGCTGCAGTAATCTGATAAAGATTTAAAAGTGAAATTTCAAAGTTACACTGTGTTTGCACGTCCTGATGAAAATGCATGTTCAAGATATTGTATACAAGAAAATGTACAACGTTACCCTGTGGGCACACTTCTTCAAAAGACATCCTAAGGATGTCTTTTTGCGTACGTCTTTTGGACTTGTGACAAAAGACGTCTTTGAGACGTCTTAAAGACGTCCTAAGAATGTTCTATATCTTGGCCATTAGATTTCTTTAAAATGTCTTAAATACGTCATTTTTCAAATTTTAAAAATAGAAAAATTTTCATAAATAGATAATTTATTTTATAAGTTCAATTTGAACTTAGAAATTGATGAAGATAAAACTTATTGGAATTTTTCTAAGTTAAATTCATTTCATTGAGAAGAGAGATGGTAAACTTTGTCGAGGTTGATATTTGTTTTCAACGGCTGAGATGCTTAAGGCGCAATGACTTCAAGTCCAAGGTATACGAGTTCGATTCTAGCTTGATAGACATTTTTTCATTAATTCTGTATAATTTAAAAAAATATAAAATTAAACTTAAAATAAATTTAATACAGTACTACTGTATTTCAACATAGAAAATATTGTAAAAGAAATGTCTATTTAAAAAGATCTGACGGGATCTAAACAGGAAATCTTTCAGACGTCCCTTTTATGTCCTTTAAACACCTTTAAGACGTACTTTAGATGTCCTTTTGAATGCCTTTTAGACGTCTTCTGGACATCTTTTGGACCACACATAGAATGTCTTACAGACGTCTTTTAGTTGTCCTTATGATGTCTCCGAGATTTTACTATCATTGTCCCCGGCTATCCGCGGACAAGATGAAATGTCGCTTTTAGACATTTTTAAGATGTCCCTATGCCCACTGTGTAAGCTTTAAATTTACTGTAAGGCAGAAGTTTTAATATGACCAAATGAAAAGTACTCTAAAGGAGAAATTTTCACAAGTTTTGACAAGTCTAACCTTTGGAGTATATCTGACGCACAGACAAAGACACTTAGGTGGGAGAAAGAGTTGAGCGATTACATGGTCACATGTGGAAAGGGGCAAATGTTTAATAGAATACCTCCACCGCGAGAGTAGCAATTTTACCTCTTTTCATATTTGAGCACCCACTTGAAAAAGTTCCTGGGAGTGGCTCGATCCCCGGGGAAAATTTGTATTTCTTATCAAAAAAAGGTCCACAAGTATATCCTGGTGTCTAGGTCAATTTTTACAGGGAAATTGCTTAAATGTTGGTGTGCAATATTCCCGCATGAAGTTATCACAGGAAAAAAGTACGTGAAATTTCAATTGATTGAGTGCTTCACTTTTGGATAAGTCTGACGCTTATACGAAATAACCGTAACTGTACACTCTAAATCTGAATCAGTTAAATTTTCACTGATTCAGATTTAGAGTGTAACTTTCATGTCGGGAAGCAATCGTCGCTGCGCATGCTAAATTTCATATGAAAAGACGGGGTCATGTCTTCGATTTTTTTTTAAATTAGATAAATTGTATCGATACTGTTGCTAAATAAGTGTAAAAAATTTTGAATTTGAAATTTACAATATTTTTGCAAATATTTATCTTACAATTTAAACTAGTAGATAAAAATTACTTTTTAAAAATGTTTTTTAAACAATTTGTTTGATAAATGAAATTTGTTTATTATTTTTAAACATGTTCTCTCTCTTTTTAAAACGCGAAAAAATAAACAATATTGTTTAAGTCATAATGAATCAACTGTTAAATTTTTGAGATGGCATTATTTGTTGTTTTTGGAGAAATTATTTAATTAAGTGATAAAAATTAATAAAAAATGAAATAATTTACGAACAAATACAGCTAAATAATTTTAAAAACACTATTTCAATGATCATCGAAATCCGCATCCAACAAGCCCAATATCAACCATTTCAGATGAACGGATGTTAAATTAATAATTAATAATAAAAATTATTTAAACAATTAATAACATCTGAAGGAATGAAGATTAAGTGTCAATTATTTTTTTATTTTGAAAATCATCTAATTTTGCGTCAAAAAAGAATATTAAGTATAATTAAGAATCAAAAATTAATTATAGAATTTTATGGGAAACACTGAAAAATACCAATTCGAGTAGGTAGATAGACAACTACAACAAAGTTGTGCTGCGGGATGCAAGAAAAGCGATTTGTAATATTTATTTGTTAATACTTTGGATTGTTAAAAATGCTATTTGCATTGGTCTTGCTAGACACATAATTAAATGATCTTAAAATAAAAAATTGACATTTCACCTTTATTCCTTCAGATGTTACTTATTGTTTAAATAATTTTTAATATTAAATCTTAATTTAACGTCAGTTTATCTGAAATTGTTGATTTTGGGCTTGTTCGATGTGGATTTTGACAAGCATTGAAATGGTGTTTTTAAAATTAATTTAGCTGTATTTGTTCGTAAAATATTTCATTTTTTATTAATTTTTATCATTTCATTAATTAATATCTCGAAAACAAAAAATAATGCCATCTTAAAGATTTAACAGTCGATTTATTATGACTTCAGAATATTGTTTATTTTTTCGAACTTCAAAAAGAGGGAGAACATGTTTAAAAATTATAAACAAATTTTATTATTAAACAAAGTATTAAAAAATTAATATTTTTTTAAAAAATAATTTTTATCTACGAGTTTAAGGTCTATTCGTATGGAATGCCTAGCACAGAAAAAAATTGAACTTGTTCCAAAGACGTCATGAGGATGTCTTTTGGACGTCTTAAAGACGTCTTTAATTTGGCCTCGTATGGTATATCTTAACAACGTGAATAATATGTCTGAGGTACGTCCAAAAAAGGTCCTATGTCTGTTCATAAAGATGTCTTTATCATGTCTAAAAGACGTATTTTTCAGATTTTGAAAATAGAAAATTTTTCATAAAAATAACTTTTATATTTTATTTTCTAAGTTCAACGTAAACGTCCAATCTGTTTAAGATAAATGCTATAGAAATTTCTTAAGTTTGATTCATTTTACTGACAAATAAGTTCGCAAACTTTGTAAAGGATTTTATCTGTCTCCGATGGTTCAGATGCTTAAGGCGTAGAGTTTGAACCCAACTTATCGCGGATTCGATCCCAGGTCCGGGTGGATTATTTCATTCCTGATTTCTATATAACCGTGTACAAATTAAACAAAAATCAAAATAAAGTTAAAATTTAAGTAAGATAATAAATAATTAATGTGTTTTAACTTAAAAAATATTCTGAGGAAAAAAAAATTTCTAAGTCCTAAATGCGTCTTAAGGACGTCTTTTAGAAGTCCTTTCCGGATGTCTTTTTGACGTCTTTTTCGGATATATTTTAGACGTCTTCTGGCCAGATATAGAACGTCTTAAAGAAGTCCTTTGTATGTCTTTATGATGTCTTCGAGACATTATCATCAAAGTCCCAGGATGTCCGCGGACAAAAAAAGACATCTTCAAGACGTCTTTTAGACGTCTCGGTGCCCACTGGGGTACTTTAAAAACCGACATCTGATGTTCTTTGCAGTGCTTCAGTCACACATAATCAGGATGACAGTTGCCCTCAACCCATAGTACAACACTTCTACCACAGATTGCGCATCAGATGAATCACAATTTATTCCGTGCACAGTCAATTATTTTTTTCACGTACTCTGTTTCCATGACAATACTTGAATGTTTTTAGGAATTTTTCTAATTATTTCGAGTAAATACTATTTTTCTTAACAAAAAGCATATTATAAAATACTATCGAAATTTTGCCCTATCCAAAATTCAAGCATTTTCAAGAAAAATTTCCCATGCTTTTTTTCGTGTACACGCAGAAACTTTGTATACCATTTTTTGTTAAACTCACCATGTATTTTTAGTAAATTGACTACTAAAGTAGGGAAAAGCGAGAAAAAGAAGAAATTTCTTATTTAACAGAAGTCTCTTTAATAATATTCGGTTTTTTTCAATATTTAGTAGCCAAGAAAAATTCATTGTGGACACAAAGTCGTAACTAATAAAAAATTAGTAAAAGTGAGGTTAGGACATACAATATATGTACAAGAAAGTTAATTATCATGAAAGGACAGCAATCACACCGCAAAGAAGGAACAAGTTCTCATCTAATCACCAAAGTTGAGAAACGCGTTGGACGCAGTTAGTACTTGGATGGGTGGTCACTTGCATTGGCAATAGACAAAATGTTTTTTGTGAAATTTAATTTTCGATCTAATACTAAATTTTAGTAGTGAGACTAGAAAATAATGATATCGGTGCAGTATTTCCCCATTTTGGTCATAAAATTACAAAAAATAAATACAACATTTGAAAAATAGGTGTATTACGGGGAGATACACTTATATTGTTTTTCATTGGGTTAAAGAATTTGACAAAGTTCATATGAAAAGGCGGTGTCATGTCTCGGATTTTACTCAAAATTCGGTAAAATACATCACCGAGAAAAAAGATTTCTTTAACAAATTTTTCATTGATTCAAAGAAAATTTATTTCTTTAAAACAAATTATCTTTGATTCAAAAAAAATTATCTTCGTTTCAAAGAAATTTGTTATTTAATTCAAATAAATGTTTCTTTGACCCTATATCAATGTTAGAATTTCTTCGATTTAATGCACAAATTTTTTTCATTCAAAGAAAATTTTTTTTAATCTAAGAAATTTTTTTTCAATGAAAGATGCTTTTTTTGTTTCAAAGAAAATTTTATTTTGAATGAAAGAAAACAAGTCAAAGAAACTAATTTCTTTAAATCATAGAAATCTTTTCTCTGGATGTATAGTGCAACTGCGGTGCTAAATGAATGTACAAAAAAAATTTCTTAAAAAAAATATTAACTTTTTTAAAATTTTAATCATATTTTCCATCTTTTTCATGAGCAAATAAAAATTATGAATATTGTTTAAGTCATAATAAATCGATGGTCAAAGTTTTGTATTGGCATTTTTTTTGTTTTCAAGATATTAATGAATTAATTAATAAAAAATTAAATATTATAGGAACCAATAAAATTAAAATAATTTTAAAAATACTATTCCAATGCTTATCGAAATCTGAATCCAATAAGTACTATATCCCAACCGAAAATTTCATCTTTGTTCACAACTGGCGCGGTACCGCGCCTGTGTATCTGCCGACACTTGGCGTGTCGGGGTTGGTGCGGTAATAGCCATAATACTGTATTAATAGAATGCCAGTATTGACTCAATGGTGGCACAGTACTCACAGAATGAAAATTAAAATTACTTTGCGTATAACACTGCAAAAAGAAGTATCTTATTTTAAGATGTTTTGGTAGCCTTTTCAAGACGTCAAGACATCTTAAAAAAATGTTGCTAAAATTTTTTTATTGTAAATATCTGAAAAAATATTAAAAATTTAAAATTAAAATTTGATACATTCATTTAGCACCAGTACCACTACAATTTACCGAATTTTGAAAAAAATCCGGGACATGACCCAATCTTTAATTATTTCTCAGTAATTAAGATTTTTAACTTAAATTTTATATAAATAATAACACTCCTTTCTTTAAATTTTATGTTAAATAAATTATTTTATTAGTCACAAGTCACCTGTTTTTAGAAGGTGGCACAAAACCTAATTAGACTTAATCGGTTAGTGAAATAAAAAACACTTTTCTTTCTGTACATTATTTAAGCTGATGATATTAGACGGAAATTATTAGGATAATTTTAGGAAGTCACTAACAAAGCTCATGATATTTATCTGTCATAAATAAGTATTATCGTAAGAAAGTCAATAAGATATCCTACTTTCCGTCAAATATCCGGTTACACTATATTAAGGAATATAAAATGTATATACAAACCTATAAATTTTTAAGCGACTTTACAAGTTTTATTATAAACTCTTCTTAAATAGTTGCTGTAACATCGATAACGTTTTAAGCAAGAAGCAACTGAATTTTAAAGTGATAATTCTCCGAATAATTGTATAAATGTATATAATGTGCAAATAAAACACCAATAAATATGAAAACACTTAGTTCTAAAAACACAATGAACAAAAAAAGTCAGCAGTGAAATTATAATTCGTGCCTATTGGCGGAAAATTTGTATCTGAAGAACAATAAATCCTTATAAATGTCACAAACAGGATTCTAAAATATTAGGTGCCCGAAATAAAAAATTTTAGTTCCATACTGATTGTAAGGGTAGTGACAATGCTGTCAATGATGACAGCAACAAGATGACGATGATGAGGACGGCTTGCTTTCACTCGCGTCCCTGTATACCGCGATGCTAACAGATGTTCAGATACTCCACTTTGTCACCTTTTGTCGGTCATTGCGCGTGCCACAATTAAACCCACTCTCACTTGCACTTTATTATTAATATATATATTTTTTGCAAATCAAGGAAGAAACAATCAATTTTGGCATGGGAAATAAATGTTGGTTTACGTCTATGGCGCACACAGAAATGATACGCACACCCACATGCATATAAATGTATGTATAAATTTCTATCTCAAATTAAATAACAAAAACTGTACATAGTCAATACACTATAAATCTTTGAGTAAGTTCATTGTTCATAATAATCATAATAAAGTTCCAGTAATCTCAACAAAATGTCGCGCACTATTCATAATTTAAGATAAAATATTTTAAAACATTCTTTAGAATGTACAATTGACAAATAATAAAATGAGTCTAAAATTTTATATATATATTCAGCAAAACTAAGATATAAAGTGAAAACGGAAAAAGTTTATATGAACAGGTTCTTCAATGCTTTCAGGTTAGGTGTAGGCTTGCATACACAACAATATTGCGGCATTTGAATAAAACTCTAAGCTTTTTGAAAACACTAAATGAATTTTAATAAAACAGTAAATCCGAAACAAAACCAATAGACACACACGCACATAAATTTGGTTAAAAAGTTTGATGATAAAATTTGAAGAAATCTCGCAGCTGGTTGAAGACAACCGATCTTTCTAGGGAGCGCGCGCGAGTGTTCTCCAGCACTATAGTAGCGTTGCAATGTATACTGTATAGTATATAGAGAGCAGCAGCAGCAGCAGCTTATGTCCATTACCTACAGTCTACCCAGAGTACGCTTTTCAAACAAGTTAAAATTATATCGACAACCGACAGCGGTAGTTTAGCGCTACGGCATGTATTTTGCCTCGGGCTACACCGTAGCGGTACTTTCACGTCTCTCGCCCCTCGACCCGATCACAGGTCTTTCCTCATCACATGAAATACTCCCCTCCCCCACTAACACTATTTCACTCACACTAATTCCTTTTTCCTTTTTAAGTATCTTTATTTCTTCTTCACATCTTATATCCACAATGTTTATAACAATTATAAATGTTATCGCACAATCTAAATAATAATAATATTAATTATAATAATAAAAACCAATTTCAACGAATCAAATTCTATTTTTTTAGAACGTAAACTTATTAATGTGTTTCACAAACGAAGCATGAGTAAATCAAATATATATTTTCAAGTTTTCGCTTCAACTAAGAAAATAACACGAGGTGATGGTTTCTGTCCGTTCATTGAAGTCTCCGTGTCAGCGTTCCTTGCATATGGGAAATTACAAAAGATGAATATCAATAAATAAACCTAAATGAGTATTGTTTTTGTATATAAAATAATACCAAAATATATTTTTCAATATAGATATATATATATATATATATACATTATAAGTAAATAAGTATTAATCATAAAGAGAAAAAAAATTCATAATTAGGATACGTCTTAATCTTTCATTTAAAGTTACTATTGTAAGTAATAATATAGGAAATAAATATTTAAATTATATGAACACAATATATATTAAAATATAGTAAAAATAACATTCGACAAGCCCGTCGTTTTCAAGCGATATACAAGGGAACAAACCAAGTTCAGTACACGGTCTCTGCTCCGTAAATACATACAACCACAACCTACTTACGTCATATCCCTGCTTTTGCCGTGTTAAGTTCTTGGTACCGTTAGGATGTGTCTACAACAAAAGAACTTTTAATAAAAGAACAACAAAATGTAAATTACAACTTTCTTTAATTGTTGTATTAATTTTTAATATCAATGGCAAAAACCTGTATACAATAAGTTATTCAACATATCTACTATTTTGATTTCTATTTTCATCGAATTTAAGCTTGTCAATAAATAAAACAAATATTAAATACAATTAACAATTACAACCTCACTTATCATATAATAATAAAATTTAATAACAAACAATTTCATTAAAATATATAACAAAATATGATTTTAATTAAAATAGTTGGAGAAAACTTGCCTGTTTTTAGAAAGCTGAAAACAATTTATTTAAAAAAATTTATTTACAACAAAAACTATACTCATTTAATTCAATTACCTTATTTAAAAAGTCCAAATAATTAAATTTCTCCAGAAAAATAAAATTTTCTTCTAAAAATTTCAAAATTTTTGCAAATATACTCATAATCATCTGCTTTTAAATATTATTCTTTTTTTGAAAGGAAATAAAAAACTGCTTCATAAATTCTCAAAATTTATTCAAGATTTTTAAAAATACACAATTAAATAAAAAAACATGCATTTTTCTAGAGTAAAAGCAAATAATGATTAAATTTACTTTAGTAAAAAGCGTCTTTATACATATTGTGTATAAAATTGTTTATTATTATTGAATTTTTTAAAAATAACCTTATACATGCTCCACATTTTTTTAAGGAAAATAAATATAGTGGAGAGTGGGTCAGTATCGCGTAGGCGGGGCATACCCCCTGATACATACAATATATATATGTATATAGGATCCTACGTAGGTACAGGTGACCACCTTTAAGAAGTGGAATGGTCGATTTTACAGGTACCTACATAGGTATATTGTATATGCGAGAAACTTTTTTTTTGGGGTACCCTTACAAATTTTAATAACCTTAATTTAGAGTTAGTTGAACCATAAATCCCAAATATGTACAAGCTTATAGCTATTATGTTATCTGAGACATATTTCATTCCATGTATATTTTTTTGGATAAAGTTCCAGAAAATCAAAGTTTTAAATAAAAACTACATATTACGTTCATTTCCAAGATACACAATTTTTTACGTAAAATTGTTTAAATAAAAATATGTTTTAAACCGTTAAAAATATACAAGTTTATTTAACATATACATATAATCAATGATACCAACATGATGCTGCAGAATATGTTTTTAACATAGCAATACTTTACCGAAATATGTTGGTATTATTGATTGTTGCTACAGATCCAGGGAAATGTCGCGCACAGTCATAACCAGTGTGACCAAACAGGAGACCAAAGCCATTCTTACTCTGACGCTCTGAAAGACGATCCTGCTCCCTCCGTTGGCCTCCATATGGTCACACAAACACAAGCATTTAGTCTCATCTGTGAGCTTTATTTTCTATAATCGCTACTACGACTACATTTACCGACAGTAGGTTAATTTCGCTGCGCGAACTTTGAAATTCAAGATTATAAAAAATAATTATTTTTAATAGTTTACAATAAATCTTTAATAATAAATAATAATAAATTAATTAATTTTTTCTAAATAATTGTTCCCTAACTGCAGCGCAGGATACTGAAGATATTCTGATGAACAAGCCCAACAGACATACATATTATAATGTCATCTGGATATCTAAAATATGTTTTAAAAATTTTCTGACAGAAAAGAAATTCAAATATTTCCTCAAAGAAAAAAAATTTCTTGTCATTTCCTTAAGGCGGTTCCAGAATAGGTGCAAAAGCTAAGAGCAAGTCCAAGTGCCAATATCATGAGTGCGAAAGAGATAGGTAGTCTATCTGTCTCTCTTGCAGACATGGGAATTGCACTTGTACTTGGCTTTTGCACCTATTCTGGAACCGCATTTACACTGTACAAAATTTGAATAGTTAAGGCAACAGGAATTGAGAGTAAAATTAAGGTAACACAGTGGGCACCCGGACGACTTGAAGACGTCATTTTTTGTCCGCGGGACTGGGACTTTGATAATAATGTCGTGAAGACATCAGACGTCTAAAAGACGTCGTTAGAACTTAGAAATTTTTTTTCAGAATATTTTTTAAGTTAAACACATTAATTACAGAGGCCTTCAAAATTCTGAATTTTATCAGGACCCAGCAACCAGAATAGTCATTTCCGATGTTTTACATTGCATGAACTAAAATCCCTTTCAAAAAGAAAAATAAATTGCGAAGTACTCATAGCACAGAAACTTGTTTCTCGGGGGTTTTTGAGGTCGCTAATTACTAATCTGATGTCAGATTTTTCAATTTAAAAATGGCGGATCCCATAAGGCGGACACTTTTTAAAAAATTTACCGCATTCCGTTGTCATTTATTACTAGGGGGTTTTTAGGGTCGCCGATTACAAATTTAATGTCAGATTTTTGAATCTGATATCATATTCGTAATTAGCGATTCCAAAAGTCTCCGAGTAACAATTTTCAGTGCAATGAGTAATTCGCAATTTATTTTTATTTTTTAAAGGGATTTTAGTTCATGCAATGTAAAACGCAAATAACTATCTCAGAGAAAAAAAATTGGATCAGATCGAGCCTAGAAAATTTTGAAAGGGGAAATATTGTACATACTTTCTTTTGAAATTTGAAGGAAGGATAAAAAAAATTGTCGATTTTATAGTGTCAAATATTCCCAAAAACGGCATTTTTCACAATTTAGGTTAGAATATTTCAAAATGATGACGCGATAAAGCAATTTCCTTGCCATTTTTGGATTCAGCGTGATAAATTACATCGCAAATAACTATTCCGGTTTCTGGGTCTGAAATTTGTAGGCCTGTGTTATTATCTCACTTAAATTTTGACTTTATTGTTTATTTTAATTTTTGTTTTATTTGTACACGCTTATACAGAAATCAGGAATAAAATAATCCAACCGGACCTGGAATCGAACCCGCGATACGTTGGGTTGAAACTATACGCCTTAAGCGTCTGAGCCATCGGAGACAGATAGAGAGATCTATTCCTAACATGAGTCCATTTTTTCGTTAAAATAAGTCATTTTGTAATATTACCTCAATATTATCTTAATATTACAATGGAATGTTACCTAGCAATATTGCCTTAGGCTTGCCGTGTAATATATTCTCAATATTGCAACGCAATATTGCCAAACATACCATGTTACACCGTGTCAAGTTCCATGTAAGAAATTGTGCTATCTGGGATGTTTCATGTATTTGTGTAAAATTATTCGCTAGCGACTTCAAATAATTAATATATCTTAAATAATAATTATTGTAATGTATACATAAATTTACAAAAAACTTTTGTAGATCGTAATGAACAACTTTCTTCCTAGAAGTATATTGTTGGTGAAAATATTTTTAAAAAACGAAACGCTGGAAAACTGAAACGCACTAATTTTGCATTGGTTCAGAAAAAATTAACTGTTATGTTTATTATTAAAATTAATTTTAGTTCACTATCAATTAAACAATAAAATTAGGCGTAGATTCATTTTTGTTTTAATAAAAAATATCAAAAATTGTCTTAATTATTGCCAGTTGAAGCCAAAAAAATCTTTAAATTTTTAGTTTTCCAAAAAAAAAACAGTTTTTTAAGAATATTTCAAGAACTGTAATGTATGAGAATTTTTGTAAAAAAAAGCGCAATAAAATTCTCTATCAGAAGATGCTCACAAAAGACTAAAATTGAAAAAAAAATTTCTACCACGGAAAAAATATTGGGCGACTGACTATTCCAAGAGGCCTCTAGTGGTGTGCCTCTGAGTCGGTAAAAAAGCAACACTCCTTTGATGACGCTGCATTCCTTTTTCGGTGGCGCTGAATGCTCAAGTTTTGGGAAACAGCCTTTGGGACAGCGACAACCACAAATCGGGCGTGCAGCGGGCCCAATCGTGACACATAACTCGCCCGAACTGCAACACTTTGTGAGTTTTCGGCTACTTGGAATAGTCAGTCGCCCAAGATTTTTTCGTGCATGGGTCAACTAATTCGAGAGTCAGAAAATTGTAACCGGATATTTGATCGGAACCATAAATTTCCGGTCAATTTAACCATAACTTCTTGTTAAATAAAACAGAATTTTTCTACTAAAAATTTTTTTGGTTATTAAATTCACATACTGTATTCTTGTTGATTTTATTTTTTTATTTTATTTTAACTCAAAACAAATACAATAAAAATTAATTTCAACAATTTTTTCTTTTTATAATTTCTTTTATCCATGATTTTTAAATTAAAAAAATTTGAAAAAACCGAAACTTATCTCGTTTCACATTTAGGTTATTAAAACAAATTTTAAATCGCCGCTACGTTATTAAGTCAATGTACCACGAGTTTGTATATCGCTCAATTGCCAAGAATTTTTCGACCCATGAAAATCAGCCTTAAGATGGATTTAAAACTTCTGCCAGGAAGTTAAGGTTACATCGAGGGTTACATGTAAAGGTTGTACTTACAACTTACAGTAAGCTTATATGTAAGCTTAATACAACATTAAAATGTAACTTATTACTATCAGCGCCATGTATAATCTCACAAAATATACGTTTAACGTATAACTTAACTTGTGCTATATGTAGCTCATTTAACGTATGACCAAAAGGAAAATTGTATATAACATTTTAATGTTTATTTATACTAAGCTAATCAATTTAATATAAATAAAATTATTATAAACAGAAAACATATGCAAAGGCTAACTCAACAATATACCCAGTGGGCAAAGTGACGTCTTTAAAACGTCTAAAAGACGTTTCATCTTGTCTGCGGACACCTGGGGACAAAAATAGTAAAGTCTCCGAGTCCAAAATATGTCCGAGAAATGTCTAAAATACATTGGAAAGGACATCCTTACATGCAGAAAAATGGAGGTTGAAAAAACGAGATTCAATAATCAAAAAACTAGACTCAGTCTAGTACGCGCACTATATGAATGTAGTCGGCTCAGTCTAGTACGGCAGACCTTAGAATAATGTTTAAGGAGCAGATATTTCGTCAAAATAAACAGCTGATCGAGTTTGCTTGTATTCACTCTCAATATTTTATATAAATAAAATATTATTCAATATTTTACAAAAAAAAATATCTTGCTTATTAACAAGTCCACAATTACATTCACTAATTTTCAATTCTTTTCACACATACATATTTATGATTAACAGTTGAATTTATTGGAAAAATCTAACAATTATTCGGGATCGAACCCACGGCCTACCTAACTAATCTTAACATTAAAAACGCACGCTTTTACATTTATCCTCTCGGATATCGCAATCGATAATGACAAATATTTTGTTAAAAGATATCTTGTAATAGTGAAACAGGTCATATGACATAAAACTATTAATTTGATTTCAATAATTTTTAAGCAATAGTTAAAAAGAAATTTTTAATAATTTGTTAATATTATTGTAAAATTAAACTTTTTATTTATTATTTTATATTATATTTTGCATTAAACTGTTTTTTATTTATTTATTTCATATTGTATTATTGTTATAAATTTAATTTTTTAAAAATTTAATTTAAATTATTGTCAAATTAATTCAATTATAATTAAAATTATTAATTTTTTTCAAAACATATTTCACAACTGAATTATCATTTAAGCTCATTATTATCTAAGCAAAATCTCAGAAATTTGCTTGTGTTTCGTGCCTTCAAGCCAAGCTACTACGCTTGCGCGTTACTTTCTCCGAGAAGGCATAAAGTTCCGCGCAACTTTGATTCTTTATCGGAACTGGACTGAGTCCTCTTCTGTCGACCTTTTGTCGTAATTTTGTATTTGTGCCTTCACAGTGTGACGCACTTTTAATACAACGTTAAATTAAGTATTTCTCATTTTAATTTTTCATAATATCGAATGTTTTCAGAATCTATGAATGAGATAATTTATACTCAGTCCTCTTCTATTTAAGAATGACAATAGTAGTACTGCAGTGTGTGTTTTTCGTTCAGTGTTCAATAAAGGAATACAACACAGATTCAAGAACTCATATTTTAATTTTTTTCCGTGTAGGACATCTTTTGAACTGGGTAATGAAAAATGGTTGAACCATTTTTAAGAAATATTTAATAGTTTGTTATAAAAAAGATTTCACATATTTTGTACAGACCCATAAGTACGAAAACCAACACGGCCCCATCAAGTATCTGACATCATTACTGGGCCAATCTTGGTTGCCTTATTAGTGGCGACACTGATAGAAGCAGGAAACGAAAGTACGTCGAAGTGCGTATAAGGTTAATTCACAATGATGAACAGGCTTTTTTAACCATCAGTATTGTCAAAGTTTAAAAAAATTTAAAAATTATAATTATTAATTAATAAACTAATTAATTCATTATACATTTAAAATATAAGTCCTGACAGAAACTGCAATTTTTTAAACATTTGAAAATTTCTAACGCTCGCGGGAATCGAATTCACAACCTAACGCATCGAAGTCTAAATGTCTGAGCAGAATAGAAACGTAACCGGAATCGTAATCGCAAACGCAACCGGAAGAATAAGTTAGAGAAGGACAAACAATATGTCTATCGCCCTCTAACTCATTCTTCCGGTTGCGTTTGCGATTCCGGTTACGTTTTTATTCTGCTCAGGCTTTAACACGCTAACCACTATACTATAAGCCGAAATGGGAATCTCAACACAAAAATTTTCTGATAACCTCCGTTTGAGGAACATTTCAGCCGTTAATGCGCCATTACTAAACCAAGATTCGTTCCAACTTGGAAAAAATAACGTGTCAAAATAAATTCAACATTACAGCCGTTAATGTGCCAATAATGACCCAGTAATGAGACAGAGTTCGTCTCAATTATGGAAAATTATAATTATCAAGTATTGGTGCCAATATTGGCCAAGTAATGTTACGGAATTCGGATCAATTATATCAAATCAGAATTACCGCAAGTATTGGTGCTAATACTGGCCCAGTAACGATTGCCGTACTTCGTCAGACATTACTGGACCAAAGTTACTCCGTTTTGACAGTCTTGCCATTTCGCATTTGGGGGAGGGTCAAATTTGTAATTATTATAAAATTATATTTATTTATATATTTCAAGTTAACAGCAAAAATTTATCTTTCTTATTTTGTTGGTTTACTAAAAATTCCACTGAATAGAATACTACGAGATGCATGATGATATATAATATACAAAAATGGATGATTCGCATGAAAAACCACTGGCCCAGTTGGTCTACTTGATCTAAAGCTAAACACAGCTGTAGCAGCAGCAGCAGTTGTACCCTCTTCTGTAATCTCTATTTTCGCATGATGAACAGCATCTCCAATGTGCAAACTTTCTTCCCCATCTTCTACAAAACCTAGTAAATTCGCTTCCCCTGGCACTAAAATTTGACCAATACCTAATTCTTGAGCAACTTGTATCACAGGCAGTTCTTCTTCAAAAGTAAATTTAGGAATTTGAACATCCACTGATTTTGGTTTCATTTCTCCGTCTAAAATTTCATGTAACTCTTTCGAGCCATTCGTAGTCATTTTTACAAGTAATTGATAAAGTCCATCTGGCTTTTCAATACCACTGGCAGCAGCAAATGGTGGTAGAAAAATAAACATAGATGTATTATCATCCTTGTATGGTAGCTGAAGAACATGGGCACCGAGAACCTCAGAAATAGCTGGAATTCACAAACAGAAACTATATCAGAAAAAAGAAAAATAATATCTCCCACCCCTCTTTTTCTCTCTTCACAGAAATATTTCGAAATATCAACCTGACTCATCAGTTATGCTGCATTTCAAAATAAGTAGCGTACACTTATTTTGAGAGCAGGTTTTTTTGTCTTTCTGTGATTATTGTAAGGGATCAATAACAACCATTCATACATGCATAATGTATGAATAAAGTTGATTTATTCCAACCATTTATTTTACACGATATGGTATGTTCGCATAAGATACCCAACCCTCACATATTTTGGTGCGCTGAAAAACGAATCTGAGGTCATATTTGCTCCCTCATGTCAGGTTTTTTTTAACCTCAAAAAATATGTCAGATTTTATGTAAAAAAATTTTTTAAATTGGTTAGATTCACTTAAAACTCGTTTGTAAGGGGTTTTTGGGACTGCTGGTTACGAATATGAAGTCAAATTTAAAAATTCAAAATGGCGGATCCAATATGGCTAACGATTTTTTAAAATTTGACTTCATATTCGTAATCAGCGATCTAAAAAATCCCCAAGGAACGAGTTTTAAGTAAATCCAATCAATTTTTAAAACATTTGTGTTACATGAAATCTTACATATTTTTTGAGGTTAGAAAAAAGCTTGACGTGATGGAGCAAATATGACCTCAGATTCGATTTCAGCGCATCAAAATATGTGGGGGTAGAGTACTCGGATTATGCGCACATGATACTTTTATTTTTGTTGGGCTGTGCTATAAATGAAAAAATATTTAAATTTATTATTCTCAGAAAGGGCTCCGGCGATTATTTTCATTTTGTTTAAAATTACTCTACAAAACATCAAAGATTCAAAATCCACAAGAAATTTTAGAGGGAAAGCAATTTTTATTTAAATAGTAAGTATGATGTAAAATTGCAGTAAGTTGTTGTGCTGTATGTGTGAGGTAACATTAAGAAATTTTCATGTAATATTACTGTAATATTTGGGTGATAATGCACGATACTTTGGCAATTGTTCATGAAAAAAATCACAACCAGGAAAATGTCCGCTTCCCACACAGCACAATATCTTGCTGTAAGCTTCCCTTGAGTTTAAACCTAAGATTCGTTAGCTTACAGCGTAAACTTCATTAATTAACAGTAGTGTAAGCTTAAAGGAATTTTACATGTGGCTTACAGTAATCTTACATGGAAGCTTACATTAAGACTATACACACGAAGCTTACAGTAAGTTTACAGGAAGCTTACAGTGTACGGTTATAGTAAGCTTAACTGTAAACAGACTACAATCATACACTGCAGCTTACGGTAGAGAGAACATTTGCAGCTTACCTTAATAACCTCACCTGAAGTTTACGCTGTAAGCTAACGCATCTTAGGTTTAAACTCAAGGGAAGCTTACAGCAAGATATTGTGCTGTGTGGGTTGTGAGAAAATATTAACACAAATCTTGGAAAAATGTTTCATTAAAATATTTTAGAAAAATGATCTGCACAAATAGGACTCAGATTCTATGGCCTGTACAGCAGCTGGTGCAGTAGTTTTTAATTTTCAATATATAGAAAATACCAAAAAATTTCACATGTCTAAAAAATTTTAACTTTATGTCAAATATTTCCCGAATTTTGCAGGTGTCTTCAAGAGATATATCTCACGAAATTGCATGGTAATATTTCATCAGAAGAGGGCAATTTTCTATTTGTTGAAAAGTTCCAGGACATCGCATTGAAATGAGGTAGAAGGCCGAAACGTTTAAAAAAACGAAAAACTAAAAATGCATAAAAGTAACTTTTTGCAATTCCAAACGTTTAAAACCAACCTTAATATAACAAAGTTAAAATATGAAACCATCAACACCAAAATAAACTCATATTTTGGGGGTAAAATTCCCCGCATCATCAATAAACTACACTTTAGCAGCCCAACATTAAAATTTTTTCTTAAAATTGCATCACACACACGTAAGGTTAAAGTACAAGCTTTATCAACAGAACTCTATAAAAAAATAAAATTTACTTCGCAGCTGCATACAGTTAGTAAAGTCTGTGGCCTGTATCCATGCATAAAAATTGAAATCAATCAGTGCGCAAATAATTTAAGTTTAAAAATTCCGAAATATTTCCCCGCAAGTGGACAGTTCCCTGATTTTAGCAATATTTTAATGATTTCGCATTGAAATATTTCAAATCTTTCAATTAAATATTTAGAAAATATCATGAGCTGTGTGGGTGTGGGACTTTTATAGAATCCGGTTATAAAAAGTAATAATTCCTTTTTTTACAATAATAAAAAATAAAAAATTTAGTAAAAACAAAAATTTTTTATTGTTGATAAGTTGATATTAAATCGTTTTCTCATTATGTTATCCTGAAAGGGATCTATGTATTCTTTTGTCGTATACAACAGTAGAATAAGAACATGCAGGTCATTAATAAATATAAAAATCGAATATAAGTTTATGTTTAAAAAAATAACAAATATCAATACAATTACTTACTGTGATTAAATGTCCCTTTCTGACGCATAAAATTTTCAAACGTAGCATTGTTTTCAGTTGGGTAAAAAATATCTTTTTTGGTATTTTCAGGATTAAAACGACTTTTCCATTGGCCCTTAAAATATACTGCATTTGTTAATACAAGATCAGTATCTTCAGTAATACTTTGAAAAGGAAGCAATTCTGGTATGTTTCCTTTCGTAATATTTTTAACCCAATTATTAATTTCATTCCTTGCTGATTCAGGATTAGATCGAAAATCAACTTTTTTTATTTCATGATTAAAAATAGCAGACATACACATTCTAATTTTTGTACTGTTCTTTACCCATAAGCGATTTGCTACGTTATATTCTACACTAGGTAATGAAGAGGTTTCTTCCTGTTAAAAAAAGATAACAATATCATTAAATATAATAAAAACATATTTGAAAACATTAAAATTTAAAAAAATACTACTAAATTTTATTAACAAAATTGAATTTCCAACAAAATTGATTCTGATTTGGGGTCGTTCACAAACTACGTCACGATATTTTATTCCATTTTTATATCCCTCCCAGCCCCACGTCACACACTGTTACATACTTTAGCGCCATTTTTTCTACGGGTCGTCACAAATTGCTTGACCCCCCCCACACCCCTTGAAGTTAGACGTAGTTTGTGAATGATCCCTTTTACATAACACAATTAATAGAAATATTGTTCAGATTATATATTGTTCAATATTATATATTGAAATGACTATGCACATTAAATTAATCACACAAATCAGAAAATTCTACCAATGTTCTCAATTATAATTATAATTAAATACCTTTTTGCCATTATCATTACTTTCAAATGAAAAAAATCTCTGTACATCGATCTTGGAAAAATCTTCAGGAATTCCCAGAGCTTGTTTCAACAAATCTTCAGTACTTCCTCGCGAACCAAAGTAAACAAGAGTAAGAGCTTCATATAAACTGACAGGGCTGAAGAAAATATTTTCACCCTGTTTTATATTGGCTATTATTTTTAAAGTATTTAAAGAAAATTGAAAACGTCCATCGATAAGTAAATTTCTGGCATCGTAATTGGAGGTGAGTGGATTGTCATTTGTTGTTAAACATTGAGCATCCGCAAAACATAAATAAGAGAATAATAAAAGAAACAACTTCATTCTAAAAGAAAAGTTTCTATATCTTGAATCATGTATCCCTAAAAAGAAAAAAAATATAGATAAACATATATATAGATAAACATATATATATATATATATATATATATATATATATATATATATATAATTAATTATAAACACATTCGCATCTCCATTACACAGTATTTGTGTCTACTTTCCGTTTTTTCTCCAACTCAATAAATATGAAGCAGAGGAATTTCACTGATTCACATAATTATAAGTGTATCAATTACTCCAATAAGTATATTTATACGCAGATGAATCACTAACAAATAAGTAATATTTGACAAATTCATCAACGTATATATGCTTATGCGGACCAGTGGCATCCTTATCGCTGGTATATTTAGAGAACACAAAATATCCCATTATGAATATTATCTATAAAGCGCATAGTGAGAACTTTTTGTCGTGTTGAATCTCACAATAAATCATAACAACCATTGAAAAATAGTCATGTAATGTCATCTAATATCTCAGTTGCAATTTAAAAACATGAAATACTGATGTCAATCTCCGAAATTAAATCAGCGGGCAATCACTAAATTGAGTTTAGCTATATATTAGCTTATTTAAATAGCGTATATACACTAATAATCAGTTCACATATGCTTCATAATTGTTATATTTATGTATAATATTAGTTGTGAAGTTTTTAACAGACATGTGTGGAGAAAAATATAAAATGTTATCTTACTAGATTAAATTGGTCAGTAAACAAAAAGCAAATCACATAATTATTTTAATGGAAACTGATTAATACAATAATATGACATTTTGAAATTTAATCTAATAAATGATGTTAAAAAATTAAAACTTTTTTAAAAATAATTGTCACAAAATAAAAACACATCATAATTTCCTTCTTTTTCTCGATATATAGGTTACAAATATAAAGTATATAATAATATTAAGATAAATGTAAAAAAAATGTAAAAAATAATAATAAATAAAAATAATATAATAATAAAAAATGTACTCTCTAAATTTGAATCAGCGAAATCTCGCTGATTCTCAGCTATAAGTATACCACTGATTCCAATCAGCGTATATGCACTGATAAATTAGTGAAAATTCACTGATTTTTCAGCGTATATACGCTAATTGGTAACAGTGGTATACTTATCGCTGATTCAAATTTAGAGAGTAAAATGTAAAAAAAAATTCTGACAAAAAATAAAAATTAAGTCGCGAGAAAGAGTAAGGGAGAAGAAATATACGTGTAAGGTTATTGAATGAAAAATCATAAATAAGAAATCTTTTGTCACTAAAAATTCATTCATTTGAAAACACAATAAAATGCATTTTTTTACAATAAAATTTGCATAAAATAAATTACCCTAAACATAATTATAAAGTAATAATTTTTCAAATTTAGGTAAATGACAAAGATACAATAAACAATACATAAAAAATTACAGTAAATTCGATTATTAAAAAAGAATTATATTCCATCCTTAAAAATAATTGAAGTTGAGGTGAAAGTAATATTACAACGTGCGTACATTACACGAGAGAGTTACAACTTTCATAAAAATGTATAGATTGAATACAAATTAAAATTCATTTACGTGACAAAAAATTCAGAATTCTCATTCACATCAAGAAGGAGGATATTTCATCTTTATATATAGTCTATATTTTATTTTATATATCAATATACATAAAAAATTAAAATTTATATTTACATTAAATAAAATTCTATGAAATTAAACTTTATTACAAGTTGCAAACATATCAAAACTTAACGTAAATATCACCATAATATATCAGGAGAAAAAATAGTGATAAAAAGTTTTTGCAAATTAAAAATTTTTAAACAAAATGAAGAAAAAAACAAAACTAATAAGAAATTAAACAACAATAAAAAGAGAAAAATTCATATTCATAACAAAAAATACATATTAATAAAAAAATTGTATAATGGTAATAAAACTTAATTCAATTAACAACCCACCCGCAAATTATTCCACATAGGTTATCAATAATTAAGTGAAACAAATCACAGTGATAAATAAAAAAGTATAACCAAATTTAACAAAACAAAAACAAATAAAAAAAATCTTGACAATATTAATCAACCAGTTATACAATAAAAATTTTAAACACAATTAACACGTACAATATTGATGACAAATAGTTCCTTAAAACTTAAAATTGCAAATGATCTTCCAAATATATTATCAACATTAATGTTACTTTGACACTTGTTAAGCAAGACTAAACAAGTGAATTCACATTCACACCGCTTTTACCAACAAGCAGTATCCCCACTATATAAGAGAATGTCTTCCTCCGTCATACAATAATGAGAATATATCTTTCCTTCTTTCTTATATAATAAAGATGTCGAGTTGCTGAAATAGTCGAAAAAGAGAAAGCAGACTTAAAAATTTAAAGAAGCAATATATGTAAAGAAAAAAATGCTGATCCATAAATGTTTGTAACATTATTTACAAAAAACATGTAAAACTATAAATAAATTTTTTTAATAATTGTATAAGTGAAATAAGCAAAAAATAATTTTTTTTTGCTAAATTATATACAATGGAACATTTTTGTATACACTATTCAGGGACTGACACGGAAACGAAACAATTCCAAATTAATTTTGTGTAGTGTCGTGTTCAATCACAAACACATTTAATAATTTATGTTTTCGTGTCCTAACCGGACACTTTTAAATTAATGAAATGTTTTCCTGTCCCAACCAGACACTTTTAAAAAAATTAAATGTTTTCGTGTCCGGACACGACGCTTTTAAAATAATTAAATGTTTTCGTGTTCTAACCAGACACTTTTGAAAAAATTAAATCTTTTCGTTTTCTAACTAGATACTTTTGAAAAAATTAAATATTTTCGTGTCTGGACAAGATACTTTTAAAATAATGAAATGTTTTCGTGTCTGGACACGACACTTATAAAATAATTAAATGTTTTCGTGTCCACACCCTACACTTTTAAAATAATCAAGAGTTTTCGTGTCTAAACAGGATACTAAAACTTTTTAAATGTTTTCGTGTACGAATAGGACCCACTTTCTCATTGTAAAATATTCTCATGAACAAATTTACTTGTTACGCCATATTAGATCCGTCATTTTAATTTTTTTCATTTTTGAAATTTGATTTGGATTCAGTGATCCCAAAAACTATAGCAACTCTCCTTTCCCATCCCCTTCTCCTCTTCCATCACAAAGATTAAAAAATTAATTAAATTAATAATAAATTATTCAAATTAAATTAATTAATTAAATGTTTCAGTGACTAGACATGAAACATTAAAAAAGAATTATGTCTCGTATCTAAACACGAAACGTTATTCAATGAGAAAATGTGTTGTGCCTGAACACGAAAACATTTCTTTATTTTAAAAGTGTCAGTTACAAACACGAAACGATAGTCGATGAGAAAATGTGTCGTGTTGTGACACGAAACGATATTCGATGCGAAAATGTGTCGTGTTCTGACACGAAACGATATTTGATGAGATAATGTGTCGTGTTCTGCCACGAAACGTTACTCGACAAGAAAATGTGCCGTGTTCGGACACGAAAACATTTCTTTATTACAAAAGTGTCGTGTCCTAACACGATACGATAATCAATTTAGAAATGTGTCGTATGTCGTATCAGAACACAACACACTAGTCAATGGGGAAATGTTTCGTGTCAGGACACAACACATTAGTCAATGTGTTGTGTACAGAACAGAAACGGAATGACACGAATGATTCGGGCAAGTCCCTGCAGTATTAGAACAAAACATTTATTTCACAATTAGTTTTATAAGTTAAAAAGTGAAAAAATGCTTAAATTTCATTTGAATTTCTTGAAAAAGTTTATATTCTTAACGTTTTTATTTTTGCGGCTTGTAAAATATCACTTCAGCTACTATGGAAATATCTAACAGACATATTTTGTCAAAAAATTTTCACTATCCCATTAGTGTGCCACCACTGAAATTAAAAATACGAAGGTTTGATTGAGTGATAGCACGTTTTAAAAAAAATTCAATTGAACGTCTTCTTATGAAAATATCTATTACGGCGTTGGATAAAAATAAAAGTTCAATGCATTTCTTAAAAGGTGATAAAAAAACAAAAATTTTAAGACCTTTTTTCAATGATGTGCCTCTAATTATATTCCTGTGGTAACTTAAATTTTAAAACCAAAATGGGATTTTTTCATTAATTGCCTGCGAAGATATAAGTGTTCAAAATCAGATAAAATCCTGAAAAGTTCAACATTCAAGGTAAAATTTCACATATTTCTATATTATAAAAATAAAAAGCCAACATATCATGTGAAAGTACATGGAAAGTACTTATTGTTAGGTAGTAATAAATTTTATAATATTCATAAACTGTCTTGGAAAATATAAATAAACTGTGACAAATTTTGACATTTTACAGGTAAGTTTGAATATTAATTTTCACTTAGTATTTTGGCTTTTTTTACACAATTATCAATTAACATTGGTAAATTAGACTATTTTAAACAAATATCAATGAAAAAAAATTTACTAACTGAATTATTTCTGTTCTTTTTTATAAAATTTCCAAAGCTGTCAAACTAACCTATTTTCCGTTCAGCTCAACTTAAAAACTAAATTTCAACGTAAATAAAAAAAAATTTCATAAAATAATTGTCAAAAATGAATTGCACGGATATTAAAAGTCATTAATACAAAATACCAAATTTTTTTAAAAATAGGCCGCAACGACTATAAGTGAAATAAAATGGAATGACCCTCTTGAAAGTTAAAAGTGTCGTGGATTTACTCATATATATATACTATACTATACTTACACGTAATACATACTTTGAGCCGTATTAATAAAGACTAACTATTATTTTTTTGCATTTAAAAATTTTTTAAATATAGTTTTTTGTCCATAATTCTAAAGAAATGTTTGGACACCTATGAATATTTTTCATTAATTTTTTAGAGTATTTTAGACGCATCTTTTAAGCTATTAGCGAACATTTTTACTGATATTCTATATCCAAAGTTATGAAGTTTTTAAAAATTAGTAATGCCGTAAAACGAGATAAGATTTTTCCTCTTCTTGTCTCGTCTTGAATAGTCTAGAATTAAAAAAAAAAATTAAATTAATCCTTTTATATTAATAATATAGTTATAACTATGGGAAAAAGTTCCATTGGCGTATTAATGGCTCAATAATGGGAGCCAGGGACGCCAATATAATTTCAAAAATGGCACCCAAATAATGAACCATTATTAGTAAACTCATGGGCTGTCCACGCTGATGCCAATGATTGGCAACCATCATTGGCAAATTATTAACAACCAATAATTAGCCAATATTAAAAATTTTAATAATAATTTAAAAAATCAATAATTTTTAAAAATTTATTTATTTTTTAATAGTTATAATTATTATTATTTTATTTTTAACGATTAAATTAAAATAAAAAAAATGGTATGGCGCACTTTTTAATGCAAGCAATATATTCCAAGATAATCGCATATATAGGTCGGATTTTTTGGAAAAATTAAATTAACAGATTTAGGCTTCTATTATACATGAATCTCTTCGTCATAAAAAGGCGAACAAAAAATGTATGGCGCACTTTTTGATTAAACCAATATATTCAAAGATAATGGCATATAAAGGTCGGATTTTTTGGGAAAAATTAAATTAACAGATTTGGTCTTCTATTATACATGAATCTCTTCGTCATAAAAAGGCGAACAAAAAATGTATGGCGCACTTTTTGATGCAAGCAATATATTCAAAGATAATCGCATATATAGGTCGGATTTTTTGAGAAAATTAAATTAACAGATTTGGGCTTCTATTATACATGAATCTCTTCGTCATAAAAAGGCGAACAAAAAATGTATGGCGCACTTTTTGATTAAACCAATATATTCAAAGATAATGGCATATAAAGGTCGGATTTTTTGGAAAAATTAAATTAACAGATTTGGGCTTCTATTATACATGAATCTCTTCGTCATAAAAAGGCGAACAAAAAATGTATGGCGCACTTTTTGATTAAACCAATATATTCAAAGATAATGGCATATAAAGGTCGGATTTTTTGGAAAAATTAAATTAACAGATTTGGGCTTCTATTATACATGAATCTCTTCGTCATAAAAAGGCGAACAAAAAATGTATGGCGCACTTTTTGATTAAACCAATATATTCAAAGATAATGGCATATAAAGGTCGGATTTTTTGGAAAAATTAATTAACAGATTTGGGCTTCTATTATACATGAATCTCTTCGTCATAAAAAGGCGAACAAAAAATGTATGGCGCACTTTTTGATTAAACCAATATATTCAAAGATAATGGCATATAAAGGTCGGATTTTTTGGGAAAAATAAATTAACAGATTTGGGCTTCTATTATACATGAATCTCTTCGTCATAAAAAGGCGAACAAAAAATGTATGGCGCACTTTTTGATGCAAGCAATATATTCAAAGATAATGGCATATAAAGGTCGGATTTTTTGGGAAAAATAAATTAACAGATTTGGGCTTCTATTATACATGAATCTCTTCGTCATAAAAAGGCGAACAAAAAATGTATGGCGCACTTTTTGATTAAACCAATATATTCAAAGATAATGGCATATAAAGGTCGGATTTTTTGGGAAAAATAAATTAACAGATTTGGGCTTCTATTATACATGAATCTCTTCGTCATAAAAAGGCGAACAAAAAATGTATGGCGCACTTTTTGATTAAACCAATATATTCAAAGATAATGGCATATAAAGGTCGGATTTTTTGGAAAAATAAATTAACAGATTTGGGCTTCTATTATACATGAATCTCTTCGTCATAAAAAGGCGAACAAAAAATGTATGGCGCACTTTTTGATTAAACCAATATATTCAAAGATAATGGCATATAAAGGTCGGATTTTTTGGAAAAATTAAATTAACAGATTTGGGCTTCTATTATACATGAATCTCTTCGTCATAAAAAGGCGAACAAAAAATGTATAGCGCACTTTTTGATTAAACCAATATATTCAAAGATAATGGCATATAAAGGTCGGATTTTTTGGAAAAATAAATTAACAGATTTGGGCTTCTATTATACATGAATCTCTTCGTCAT